TTATAAAAAAAATATTTTAAATCTTAAATTTTTTAAGCATTTTTTTAAAAATTAATTGTTGCTTTATTTTCTCAATACAATTCTATAAAATAAATAATTAAATTTATACATATATTTTTTTTAAGGATTTATGATAAATTGAAACTTGCATTTTAGATTATTATAAATTTTTATTTAAGAATCCATGCATAACAAAAAATAAATCGTGTTTTTTAAGAAGGAAACCTTTTAAAAAACACAAGAAATAATTAATTGAAAACAAAATTTTGATTAAAAAAATCATAAAACTAGGTGATTTTTTTTTTTTTTTTTTTGCTTTTGATTTCAATAGATTTATTAGATCTATAGCATAACAAAAACTATTAAATTTTTAAATAATTTCATTTCTTATGTTTGATCCGTAACATAGCGCGGATAGTTATAAAACAATTAAAACAAAACCTCCAAACCTTGTTCATTGTACCATTCATACACGCTTAAATTATTGTGCATTAACTGTTTAAATGAATAATTCTTTGTTTTTCTCTTTTTCTTTTGTTTACACCCCCTGTTTTGTGGCTTTTTTCATCATCTTTGGCTGTCTTCTTATTCATTTTTCTTACCCCTTCTTCTAATTTAATTTTTCTTTCTACCATTATGTGGTTTTTAGCTATTATTGTTTTACCCCTCCTTGTTTTCCTACAAGTATTTTTGTCCTCTTTTGACATTTTATTTTCATCCTTATTAGAGTATTTAATACTTAGCCATAACATCAATTGCAATTTCATGAATTTCAAAAAACACAAGGACATTTTATACGATGCATAACAATAGAATTTTCGTTAACTTTGTTATTTTGATGGCACTATTCATTACCCTGCAAAAAACTCTTTTATATCAATGTTTTACAAAAATTGCAATTTATCCCTGATTTTAGATTTTAGAGTAAAATTTAAAACATGATTTTTTTTCTTTTAAAAAATAAATTGATATAATTTGGATAATTGATTCTTAGAATTTTTTAATTATATATATAATTTATCTAAAATATCCTTTTTTTATTTAAAAGTGTGTTTGAGATTATTTGTCTCGATTTTTTTTTAAATAATTTAAAAAATAGTTAATTAATAATTAAAAGTCATATATATATAAAAAGGTGATTGCAATGGGGGTGGAGTCTATACAAAGGGACTAGCCATATATAGTTTAGAAATAAAAATTATTTAATAAGAAAACAAAAAAAGAGAAATTCATGTGTTGAATTTGATTCTTCTTTATATCAAAATTTATGAGAATTATTTTTTTAATAAATTTTATTTTAATCTATAAATTTCAAATCTATTCAATATATTCCCTACAAGTAATTTTTTTAAATATATTTTATTTTACAATGTAGACTCTAAGCCCACTCAATATATTTATAATATAAAAAATTGAATCATTTGTTTTTACAAAAATCAACTATGCAATTATCATAACACTAAGCATTTTACTATTTATTTATTTATAGATATTTTAAATCAATTTCTTTCAAATTAAATATATGAAATTATGTTTTTCCATAATTAGCTCAATGATTCAAATATAATTTTGTTATTTTAATATTATTTTTTTCTTAATAAATATATAAAGAATAATTAATAATTTTTAATTCTCTTTTTTGTTTAAGAATCCATGGATAAAGAAGAATTAATATTTTCAAGTAGAAAATTATGAAAAAAATAAAGAAGAAATAGTTAGATTAAAAAATTTGAATAAAATATTATAAAATTGGATTTTTTTTTAAATTTTGATTTTATATATTTTTATGGACATATAATATAGCACCGACTATTAAATTGAAATAATTTTTTAAAATAATTTTACATGTTTTATCCATCCCGCGGTGTAGTGCGAACAAAAAAAACTAATAGTTTTGCTAGATGCCGTGAGTAAATTATGAATTAGTTAGTTTAGTTTTAAGAAATAAATAAATTAGTTTTTTAATTTTTTTAAACTAAAAATTTATTCTTTGTAATTTTTATTCTAATATATATATATATATATATATATATATATATATATATATATATATATATATATATATAAGAAAAAAAGTGTTTATGATAAAATAATATTAAATTAATTGTGATGAATACTGATTAAAAATTTAAATAATTAATCTCTAAAATAAAAATTTATTTATTTATTTCTCAAAATTGGATGGATTAATTTATAATTTTTATTTGTTGTAGATTTCTACATATCGATTTAGCATGGATAACTTGAGAATTCATACTAATGAGTTTTGCTAGTGCTTTTTTTTTTTTTTTTTTTTTTGAGTTCTATAATTTTGCTAGCTGTTGTAGATTCATGACTCGTTGAAGTCCATTAATCACGTTTCAGTATGAAAAATAAAAAATAAAATTATAGAAGAATATGATTTTATTACGAGAAGAAGGAAAAAAAAGTCAGATAAAGTAATATATATATATATAATTTAGAAATTTGAAGGATTAGAGACCAGATTATGCTGATCAAAAGTTGAGGAAAAGTTTGAACCAATTGTCTTTAGCAATACCTTTTGAAATTAGAAGTGTAAAAATCAAGAAAATTCAGTTTAGGGACTAATTTCAAACGGCATTAAACTTTAGGGGATTATTTTACATTTAGTCTAAATATGTCTACTGGCTTCTACTAACCCAAGTTATTGTACGGAATCATCAATGCCATGAATCATCTTTCACATAAATATTTTTTTTAAAAAAACTTATCTTTCAGGAATTGGTCATAAGAATTCTTTTCCGTTTCACTTTATAAGTACATACATCAAAATGTATGAAACTAAAAAAATTCTAAAGTCCCATATAATTGACCATTTGAGCATATGGTGCCTTGTGTCATAAAATGCGGCAAAGTACTAGCAATTGTGGTATCATACAAGAGCAAATGGTCCCTTCCTAAAAGTTTTGACAAGACTCCATAAGAGGAAAACAAATGACTTTTGTTCAAGAATAGTATCAACCTTGTATCATAGCATTTATTATATAGTTGACTAGTATGAAAGAAAATAAAATCATACTTTTTTATCACCTCATTAAACTTTGCAATCAACTTGGTATTTTTTTTTTAAATTTTTTTCGTGTATTCATATTCTAGACTGAATATATGATTAATTCTATTCAAAATAAAAATAATAAAATTTAATTCTTTTTAATAAATACGATTTTAAAATTCAAACTTTATACGTTGAAAGAAAATTCGTTGGAAACTAATTCACTTACCATTGAACAAACTACTTGTTAATAGTATTTTTATATAAGAGAATTGTTAGAGAGTCATGTAGATCATATATTGCGACCTCATTTAACAAATTAAGTTTTTACGTTAAAATGATTTGTTGATCACGAGTTCAAATCTCATCATAAAAGGGTTTCACTTAAATAAATGTGTTAAAAAGTCCTATAAATTATATATTGGAGCATTCTCTAACAACTTAAGTTTTTACGTTGAAATGACCTTTTGACAATAATTAAAAAAAAAAAAAGTGAAAAGGAGTGCAGGTCTAAGTAATATTTTTTCAATAATTGAAAAATCACTTCAAATCTTAACTATTTTTAATAAATACGGTCTGAATCCTAAATCTTAGAATATATGATCTCTCATATTTCAATAACGGAGAACTAGGTCTTTGATTTTGTAATAGCCATGTGAAGACGTTAGAAAGTATTGGATGTATGATCTCAGAAAGTTTCAACAATCAAGATAGTTCAAGCTTTCCTTGAGTATGGCTAGGAATGCGACCTTCAGCATGTTCTTGGGAAGACAAGTTGAAACAGTCAAGTTCACACGTCGATGGCTAAATATAGCGCAGAAAATTATAGATTCTCCTTCATATCATGATCTATCACAATTCCTTCTTATCTGGTATATTTTTCTCTATAAAAAAGAATGAAAAACGATTGCCAAATCTTGCTAGTTTGGGTTAGGTGCCTCAGTACTGATTTTGTTCACATCAAATACCAAGTTGTGAAAACGACAATGGACTAATTCAAAATTCACACATTTTTCAAGAAAAATAAAATAATTAACCACAACTATTAATTAAAAAAAGAAGAAAAGAAAAATTATTTGCATGACATAAAAGATTACACATACAAAGAAACATTGTCTGGATATCTATCCCAAGACTTTGGTAGTTTAGTTCTGCAAAATCTATGATGTTTACAACACACACATATTAGGATCATACCAATAGGTTTCTGGTTTAGTAGCAGAAAACTTTTTATACCTACAAGATATCATATGTTCAAATTCTCTTTTTGGAGCATTTGAATTTTAAAAAAGCTTTATTATAAGAAGAGGTCAGAGTAGGCCCTAATCTTTGTAGTGGTAGTCCATTCAGTTCATCATGATAATACGACATCCTCTCCTGCCCTACTAACGCTAACTCCTAACGCCTAACAACTGAGGGAAAAAAAAATCAGCAACACAGTGGCTCTTCAATTCTATTTGTGAACTAGCCTGTTGTATATCTAGCTGTAAATGAGTTTGAAAGACAAGGCAAGTCATCTCTGATTCTCCATACATCTACCACAAAAACCTCACAAAAAAGTAGTAGCAACAGTAAGGAAATGGAACAAAATATTTTTTTTACTATGAAGTTTTTATCAGACAAAACATATTGATAAACCATATCAACCTAACAAGAAATGATTATCTTGTTGAAAGGTAAAATAAAATCTTACACAAAGGGCCTAACCGGACATGATGGATCGATACATTTTTCGGATACAAATTTACAGTACTTATCCGAAGAATCTAGCTAATGTTTGCAAGATTTGTAGATTGACTGATGGAGATTTGAAGTGTTCATTCTCGCATCAAATGAATGTTCAAGCACTAAGAGCAGGAACAATGCAAAGTTTTTTAATTTTCAAACCATTTTTAGAAAGTTTTGATTGCTTTCTTGACATTAACAAGTCAGTTTGAAAACTTGTTACGGTAGCAGGATTGATAGTATTGCAGGTGTGCATTACTTACTAGATCCATCTCTTCTTTGGAGCTGTATCCTTAGTTGCACTTTGAGTTTGCCTTCTTATCTTCCTGGAGTCTCCTCCAGCTGACAATTGTTTTGGCCTTGAAGAAGAAAGTCCTGCTGATTTTTTATTTTTTGATGTTTCTTTAAGAGGACTTTCTGATTTAGAGTTTGCCTGAAGTTCTCTTGTTTTTCCTTTAATCTTCCTGATGTCCTCTCCAGCTGACAGCTGCTTTGGCCTCGTAGAAGAAAGTCCAATGGACTTTCGCTTTGTTGATATTTCTCTACTTAGGTTTTCTGGTCTAGACTTTGTCTGAAGTTCTTGTAATCCTACTGTAGACCTCGAGCCCTTCGCTTGTGCTGATTTCTTGGCTGTTGTCAAAGTGAGGACATCACTCTGAACAGGGTAATCCTGAATTTTTTAACAGCAGGGAATTTTTTTTTTCAGTCCATACTTCATTGGAAAAGCAAGGCTATTGGTACTGTTCTGCTAAGGGTCACCTGAACTTTAACAGCAGGAGGTTGCGGATGGTTTGCAGGAGAGGAATCTGAATCAGAGGAGGAAGAACTGTCCAGGTCATAGAGTATATTATCCACCATGACAGGAAGTTCCCAATTGTCCGAGATAGATAACGAATAGGATGGCCTCCGAAGTCTAAGCTCTGCCTGCAAGAAGTTATACTCATTCGTTCTGGAAATTGTGACCATTATCTGAGACAAAAATGGCATACCAACCCTAATATTTTGCATTAAGTGCTTAAAAAGAGGAAATGCAAAACCAAAACAAGAAAAGAGAGGTCGCATAAAGCCTATAGATTTTTCTCATATCAATCTTACTGTCTCTAACTCTTCCCTAACTAACAAAGAAATAATGTTTCTAACACTGGCCTCTCACCTTTTCTTCCAAGACCACGATGTCCTCCTTAAGTCTTCTGATCACTGTGTTCTTTCTGCATACAATGTCTTCCAACTCGGCAATTCTCTATTATCATGGAAAAAAGATGTGTTTGAATAAATCAAACAGAAATATGGTGAGTAAAAAAGGCTAATGAAACATACTTGTTAAAATAATACCTTCGAACCTGCAATTGATCGAGGATCGATGCTCAACTCCTTAGTGGTGGCATCCTTTTCTTCACACTTTCTTTTGAGATTGAAGATGTCTTGCTCTATTGCAAAGGTGTTCATCTGTTATAGATACATAACATGAGTTCAAAGAACTGCAAACTTGATAGTCTATATATCAGTGAGTAGTCGACTCTGATAGTGATTCGGTATCTCCCAATCTATTTGATAGCATTTAGTGCTAAGAACACATGAAAGAAGGTTCCTTAAAGTCGTACAGTTTCTGTGAAACACAAAGCATCTGTTGCATGATAGCTAACACATTTGTATTAAGATATTTTGTAAGAAAAGCATCCTCCAAACTCACACCGTCGCGCACAACCACAAGGTAATCAGGACAATTATTTGCCATTAGCTACTCAATATGACCACCTAATCTTTTCTCCTTTGATTGATTCATATTGGGGAAAACCATGATTGCAGTTCGTGATATTCATTACTTTAGAAAACCAATTTATGAGGCTATTACCTATTAAGTTGCTCTCAAGTTCGGAGGTTAATTAGTCGATATCTAACAGCTGCAAATCCTATTACCAATGAAATATCTTCAAATTTTAATTACTGCTTCAGAATCATCCATTACCTGTATTTCTTCTGCAGAACCACTTGAAGCCCAATCTGAAAGATCTGACATTTGCTGCTCTTCTTGTTCCATCTCAACCTCTCTACGTACGTCTGCAACAGAGTTTCCCTGGTGCAAAATGAAGAAATTTGGGAGGAAATTTAGTATCAAGAACGTCGAAACTGATGCTATTAATATCATTGTTGAAGCTTCAAGAAGGCACAAAACTTGGTGTATCTGACATAAAATGATTCTTACCATCAAACCAGCATCATGTTCTTGGTGTTCATCATAATGCCAAGAACCACTGTCAACAAATTCAATTCTATCGTAGCCAAAAGCATCGTTTGCTTTAGTTTCTTCCTGCCTATTGAAGTTGTTGAATTGATCACACAGATTGTCAAGCGTCTGCTCCATGTTTGACAGAACCTTATCCTGGGACCAGCATTGATAATCAGAAGGGGTTAAATACAATTCATAATTGCATGATCTTGTGCATCTTGATTACTTTCAAAGAGAAAGTAGTAAAATATAATAGCACAAGGACCGCAAGGAGAACGGATGGGTTGAAAAAGAAATGTGCTAGGTATTAACATCTACATTCAAATTCAGAAATGATTCAGACCAGTAAATTCCAAAGCAAAATTTTGATGATTTTTGTCTTAAATATTAAAATGCAAGATGGAACAAATAAAAGGATCAATCATTAAGGATAAATAGCATTAAGGAAAATGTAATTCATAAAACAAGCCCAGGATGTCATTACTGACCCTTAGCTCCACAGACTTTTTCACCTGATTGATGATCCTATTCTTTTTAGACTCAGCAACAGCAACACCAATAGCAGCAAGAACGAGAAATCTCTGAATTGGACTAAACAGCTCCGAACCCACATTTTCTTCTCGGCTCAAGCCAATGCCAATGGCTATAGCTGAGCTGGCTTCCTCTGCATTCAGAAGCTGTTCTTCTGGGGCCACCCATGGAAACCCCAGAGCTGATGGAAAGGCCAGGCTTGGCTTGAACTGGCTCAAGAGCTGGGGTGAGGTGGGACCAGAAACCGGAGAAATTGGTGAAAGAGAGACTAGACGTGGAGGAGCAGCCCACCGATATGAGCTGGACTGGAAGGCAATCTGGTTACAATCGGCGCCTACCATAAAGACAACTTGAACATAGCAGAGAGTTCGTGTTTCTGTGTTACGAAAATTTAATGTTTTTGTTTCTTTAACGTTGAGATTCTTTGTAGGCCATTACAATTGTTTCTGTGTCTTAAATATTTTTAGGATGTCACTGGATTAGTTAATTACTTGTGCTGCTAAATCAAACACTAACCAAAAATAGACAGTTACTGCTGCAGGAAACTGCAACCATAAACAAGCAACAACAGTAAAGGCTCATGAAGCTAAAGCCATGTAAAAGATGGCATCGCAGCTTAAGTATGGCTAGCTCTGGCAGGTGAGATAAATTCAGTTATCCACGTTATAGTTTTGCATGCATTTGTTTCTTTCTTTCACTAGAAATTCTGTTTTACACCTACTTGAGGTGGGCGTAATGGTTGGAACTTGGAAGGCTATGATTGAGACCGAATCGGTTGGAAACTTCCCAAAGAGAGCCAAGTCTCGAAAACTAAATATAACCGCATTCCATTTATAAATAGCAAAAGAGAAGGCAGTTATAGTTTTGAGTTTTGGCAATAGGAGATAAGTTATCCGTACATATTTTAGCTGTAGCCATTTTTGTGGGGAAGATGGTTACCTCCCATACATGAGGAGGGCATTACAAAGAGCAAAAGGCAACACGGGACAGTCATTTTCTTTCTTTTTTTGAGAATGTTACCTCCTATAGAATTGTATGGTCCACACCCTCAAACAATTGCAAGCTAATGAAACAGCTTTCCCTTCGTTGAATTTAGCGATTTTGAGGTTCACCTAGACCCTCAGCAGCAGATCAAACTCGCACAGAAACTGCGCCCAAGACGGGGACTGCATTGTTTTTCTTGACGGTAGATAAATGTGGAAGGTTTCCCAAGGCCTAACCATTTATACTTGAGAAACCAACCGGAGTTGCCTTGAATCTGGTTAAAATTTGATTGACTGCAACTCAAATTGGCAAGTCGTTGTCACCCTTCGTAAAATTCCGGTTGTCATTGACTTATAAGAAGTGCCAATCTTTTCTAACTCCGTTGGTGGGATTGATATCCTCTTATGTTCCTTAAAACAAATGATCGATTGTGTTTCAAATCTTACCATTAATTTGGAATTTAATAATTTATCTAGAGGCCAAAGGAAGCAATGATTCTGATACTAGTTGAGACACTTTCATGTTCTTAGAAAGACAAGCTGAGACATTCACCTCAAAGTGAAATTTCACATGTCCATAATCATAGCAAGGAAAGTTATGAATAAAACCTATCTATTACTGTCTCGTCTTTGTTTTCTGTTTTAGTAATATTGTCCCTACTCCCTAGCAAAGATATTAAAAGAAAGAAAATTGCCTCACTACATTGCAAAATATAGCTGGTTAGGTGATTACAGTGATCTCTCCATATCAAACTGCTCATTTTCCCAGTTCAAGTTGTGAAAAACTTGATGGAATCATTCACATTTTACATATTTTGCAAGGACTGATTCACATTTTTCAAATTTTGCAAGGAGGAAAAAGAAAGAAAAGAAGCCTCGCAGTAAGTAACAGGAAGAAATAACCAAGGCTGATATCTTTACTCAACCACACAAATATTATGTCTGGACATTTACCTAAAACTTGGTTCACAAGTTTTGAAATTCTATTACTATTAACAACGACATAATATATATAATGACAGCAACATGGCTCTTTAGTTCTAGATATCAACTAGCCTGGTGTATATCTACTTGCACATGAGTTTGAAAGACAGGGCATTTTTCTTCAGTTGCCAGTCTTGAGTTACCCAGTCTCTACATACATCTCCCATATAAACCTGCAAAAAGAGTGTCAATAAAAATAAAGTCATAACAAAGTATGCTTTAATAAAGCATGTGCAGAAATGATGTCAACCGACAAGCGATGGATATATCTATTCAAGAGTAAGAGGAAAAAGACCAATCATAGGGCCCTGTGGGATGTTATAATGACATCTATTATTTACATGGATTCAGATATTTGTTGGATGCAAATTTACTGTACTGATTCCCAGAATCTGGCTAATGTTTGCAAAATTACTATGTTGGTTGGATGGAGATTTACAGTGTTGATTCCCGAAAGAATTGAATGGTCAAGCCTTGACCACAGAAAGCAAAGTTTCCAACCGAGAGCAAGCCAATTTTCAAGTCATTATTGTAGAGTTCTGATTTGCTTTCTAGACATAAACAGGTTAGTTTTTGACTTCACCTCATTTTTAAGATTCTGAGAAATGAAACTTCATGCCAACTTCTTGGAAAGAATTTAAAGATATTAGGAAAACTTGAAAAGAGAAAATGCTTTTGTTCTCAAGCTTTGTTCAAGTACCATTAGCAAGTGAAAATTAAGTATGGAAGCTGCATTCTTATATACATTAAACTATGAGAGGTGTGCATTACTTACTAGGCCCATCTCTTATTGGAAGATGTATTCTTAATTGCACTTTGAGTCCGCCTTCTAATCTTTCTGATATCCCCTCCAGCTGACAACTGCTTTGGCCTTGAAGAAGGAAGTCCAATGGACTTTTGATTTGGTGATATCTCTTTAAGAGGTTTTTCTGATCTAGACTGTATGTGAAGCTTGGTTAATCCTACCAAAGAACTTGAGTCCTTTGCTGGAGCTGATTTCTGGTTTTTTGTCAAACCAACCTCACTACTCTGGATAGAAGTCTCCTGAAGTTTAACAACAGAGGCTTGTTTTTCAGTTCATCAGATAGAAGTTGAATTGGAAGAGCGAGGCTAATTGTACTATCCTGATAAGGTTTACCTCAATTTTAGCAGCAGGAGCTTGTGGTCGGTTCACTGGAGAGGAATCTGAATCAGAGGAGGAAGGGCTAGTGGTACTATCCATATCATAAACTATGTTATTCACCATGAGAGGAAGTTCTGAACTGTCTGAGGTAGACAATGAGGATGGTCTACGAAGTCTTGTAACATGCACCACCTGTAAAACCCCATGAGTTCTGGAAATTAGACCATTATCTGAGACACGATAATGACTGCATATCAATCTTAATGAAATTCACCTAAATCAGTTCCAATGAACATAAATATTACTGTGGATTATTCATTATTCATGAATAAATTGAAGAATGCTATTAACTCTTCAGTATTACTCAAGAACAAAACTGCAGCCTGTTTGCTTATATATTCTATTGTGCCCAGAACATTTTGTATTCTGACTTTGTCCTGCGCAGAGCATCAGAACCTTATACTTTCACAACAAGAGAGAAATATGATAACCAAGGCAGTGCAATAAAGAAAACAAAAGAAAGGCAATGTTGCAAAGCATAAACATCTTCTCATTTTAAGTTCCATTGTTTCCAACTCTTTCCTAAATAATTTTGCTAATACTGACTTCTTACCTTTTGTTCTAATACCATCATGTCCTTTTTAAGTCTTGTAATCATTGTGTTCTTCCGGCGGATAATGTCTTCCAACTCTCCAATTCTCTATTATCATGGGCAAAAGATTTGTTGTAATAAGTCAGATATAGATATGGTGAGTAGAAAAGGGAAAGAAAACTTACTAAAAAAATATTGCCCTTATGAGTCGAAAATACCTTAGAACCTGCCATGTTATTCGATTGAAGAATACTGGTAAGCTCCTTTATGGTGGAATCCTTCTCTTCACACTCTCTCTTGAGATTGCCGATGTCTTGGTCCATTGCAAAAGTGTTCATCTGTTATAGATACACAGCATGAGGTCACTGAAATACGAACTCCATAGTTCATAGATTAGTGAGTAATCTGCTCTCTTTCCACCTCAATGGATATGTAATGTTAAAGGCCCTTACAGAAATCATAGTGGCTGTTGCCAATCTATTTGATAGTTGATACATTTGTAAAGTAGATAATTTGCTAAGAAAGAAAGAAGAAAGACTGCATCAAAGATTAAATATCCCTCAAAATGACACCCTATGCGAATACGAGTGATCAGAACTAATTATTTGCCATTAGCTACTCTAATGAGCAACTGATCATATTTGTCCTTTGGATTGTCGAAAACCATTATTGTCATGCACAAGATATCTAAACTTTGATTTTTATTGGTTATCTGATCTCTGCAAATTATATTACCAGCGAAAAACCCGTAAAAAGTAATTACTGCTTCTGAATCTTCCATCACCTGTATGTCTGCTGCAGATGTAACACTTGAAGCCCAATCTGACAAATCTGACATGCGACGCTCTTCATGCTCCACCTCATTTATGAAAGGAATTTTGTACTGCAGCACCTCATCGCCCCTAGACACTTTGACAACAGAGTTTCCCTGGAACAAAATTAACAAACTATAGTATTTGAGCATTTAGACACTAACTCTGACTCTAAGATTATAATCACTCAAAACAACAAAAGACACAAACTTAGCGTCTAAATAAATTGATTCTCACCATCAAACCAGCAAGCAGGTCATGGTGTTGATCACAATGCCAACAACCACATTCAACAAATTTAATTTTATCACAACCAAAAACATTGTTAGGTGGCAGTTCAATGTTCTTGTTGTTGTTGAAGGGTGCATTGGCCTTGGTTCCTCCCTGGTTGTTAATGTTACTAAGCTGATCACACAGATTATCAAGCTTCTGCTGCATGCTTGATAGCACCTGATCCTGAAAACAGCATTTGGTAAAAAGAATTTTATCAGAAAAGTCTCGTGGCTACAAGTAAAACTTCTTCTTTACAATTTACATGACTTTGAATTTATTAAATCCAGCTCACATTCAAACAAAAGGTCATACCAATAAATAGCAACAGGACAAGGGTGGGGTTTAAAGGAACTGCAATTCTGCACTAGACATGAACATCCATACAAGTAGATTCAAAATTCAAAATGCTTTCAACCATGAATTCTGGAGGGTAATTTTTGTAACTGCTGTCTTAAATATCAGAATTAAAAAACCAGCATTTACAAAGGGATGATTACTCATTTAGAATTAATTAATCAAATCTCGAATTAAACCATATTTTTAATACTTTAATCATATGAAAACTCAAAAGTTATAAGAAACTGCTTTCAAAAGCAGAATCATTGAACTCCTGTGACCCACAAAATTATCATTAAAGATAAAACTAACTAATAAACAAAGCCATTAATTGAAACAAACACTGCTAACTAAAATCAGAAAAACAAACAAAACCCAGAATCAGATTAAATATCACGTAAAAAGAACTCTCTTTAACAAAACATGCCATCAAAATAACACCAACCATCCTCTAAAATTCCTACCTTTCATACAAAATCAAGCAACAAACCTACAATTCACACTCAAAAACCAAAAAATGTTTCATTTTTTAAGCAAACCCATTTTCCAAAACCCAAAACAAACAAAACCCATTAACAAAATCAAGTTAAAATCACTAACCCTAAGCTCCACAGACTTTTGGAGCTGATTAATGATCCCATTCTTTTTAGACTCAGAAACCGCAACACCAATAACAGCAACGATTAGAAACCTTTGAGCAGGACTAAACAGCTCCCAGGCCACACCATCTTCCCGGCTCAACCCAATGGCTTTACCCGAACTAGCTTCCTCTGCATTCACAACCCGCCCTTGCAAAGACACCCAAGCCAGCCGCCGAGCAGAGGGGACGGCTCGATTCGGCGTGAAGTGGCTGGAGAGCCTGCGGCGAGAGGAGGGAGTTGGGATTGCAGGGAATGGGGAGAGAGTGACAAGTGACGGAGATGGAGGTACTTGAGCCGAGCCGAGGGTGGAGCCGAGCTGGTGGGTGTAACCGGCTTCTTCTTCTTGTCCCATGAATAGAAAGGAGAAGACAGTGCGTGATTGCAGGGAGTTTGTGATTTTCGAACGTTGTAATTTATTCTGCGGGCATTAAATTTATTTCTATTTTTTGATTTGGTTTTTCTAGTATGGATTCAAATTTCGTGGTTCGAGAGGGAATTCTTCAAATTATGGGAGTTGAACGTTGCTTGTTTCCTTGCATTCCAGTAAATTATAAATTAGTCTTTTTAATTTTGAAAAGCTAATCGATTAGTCCTTTTTTAAAAAAAAATTAACAATCTAATCTTTTTTCTTTTCAATTTATTTTTATTCTTTTAATAAAATAAAAAAATGAATGGGTTGATGAAACAAATGATATCTTTAAAATAAATTATATCAAATTAAGTATGATAGACACTTGTGAAGAGATTAAATAATTAATTTTTAAAATAAAAGGATTAATTAATTCTTTTTTAATAAGAGGGACTAATTTATAATTTACCCTCTTCTTCTAGGATGAACAACTTTGACAAATATCGAAGTGACTCATCAGGTTTTGTTTGTTCTGAATTTGAATTTGAGAAATCTGAGGAAATTTCTTGCAAGATGATAAGCAATAGGTCGATTGATGTCTGTTTGGCCGTCAAAATTTTAACTCAAAATTCATTATATTTACATTTTAAAAACCAAGATTTTGCATTTCAGATCAAATTAATCAATTTTTTAGACCAAAATTATGTTATTTTATAACAAGTATGTTATTTTATAACAAGTCATTCACAGCCAAAACGTCACATTAAAAAAATATATCTTTTTTTTTTTAATTTTCTTTTAAAACGATAATATAAGAAATAAACATTACTACTATGGACCATCGATATGAATATCTTTTCAAGTGAATAAATTCTAGACACGTGAACATAAAATTTTTAATGGTCAACAATATCAAAATTCAAATATAAAACATGGCTCATGCCTCTAGCACATCATTGTGAATCAATTTTGTTATTTAAGCTTAAACGTTTAATTTGTTTTTTTTTTTAATTTTTAAGTTATATGAGAATTGGTTTTTCAATTTTTTATTTTGAATTTTTTTTCTAATTATTTTTTATTTGAAATTAGATTTTTTCATTAGGTTTCATAAATTCTAACATATAAATACAATTTTTCAACCATTAAAAATATATCAAAACTTATATTTTTTTTTCTAAATCTAAAAAGAATTAAAAATTAAAAGATATTTTAGAAAAAAAAAACATTCATAAGTTTTGACATATTTTTATCTATTAAGAAATAAAAAAATCAATTAAGTATAAATTATCCATGCTCATATTATTAGAATTGATAAAAACCTAATAAAATGATCCATTTATATATATATATATATATAATAGCTATTCAAGATCCAACTCAAAATAAAAAAATTAAAAAAAACAATTTTTAAATCACTTAAAGTTAAAAAGAAATTTTGTTTCAGAAAAAAATTGATTCACTTGGTTCATAGTTTTGTGGCAAGTTCATTTTTTATCAAGTACTATGGGCTCATGCCAAAAGTTCACTCGGTCCTCGGCTGATACTTATTACTACAGTTGGCCCATTCGTGGTAAAAAACTAATTCAATAAAAAAAAAATTAAATATAGGAAGAAATTTTATAAATCATATTATTCTCTAATGCAAATTCTCAAATGAAAACTCTATAATTAGAAGAAAATGAGAATAATGAAATTCAAACTCAAGATGGTTTAGTCATCAATTAGATTTTTGACCCGCGCTACTGCTGTGAGCTAGATAAAATATATAAAACCATTGAGAAAAATTATTTCAGTTTAATAATCTGTTTTATGGTAAAAAATAATTAAAATTTTTTAATCAAAAATTTTATATTTAACTATTTCTTATTTTTGTTTTTAAATTTTAGAAATAAACAATAAAGAAAATAAACTATTAGTTTCTTTAAAATTTTAACACCTAATTAATCGTTGGTTCCTTTAAAATTTTAACACCTAACATTATTAAGAAATGAAAATTAAAAAAAAAAATTTCAATTTTTAGGGGGAAAAAAAAAGAGGAGCCAGCCGTTTACTATTTATGTGAACAGTAAACAGATGGAAATTAAAAAAAAAAGATTCAGTGTTTAGAAAAAAAAAAGAGGGGGCCAAGTCGTTTACTGTTCACATAAACAGTAAACAAGAATAAAAGGGGAAGAAGTCTAGAACTGGCGAAAAAAAAAACAAAATATTATAGCAATAAATAATGATTAACACTATTAATTGCTACAGTAAAAAAAACTATTTTCCTTTAATATATAATATAATATAATAATATTGATATTGTATTAAAAAATTATTTCAATTCAAAAGTTTAAGACTGATGCTACATCAAAAAACTATTTCCATCTAAAAAGTTTAAGACTAATGCTATATAAAAAACAATTTCAATACAAAAAGTTAAACTATTAAATGACATTATAAATAATTTTATATTAGTTTCTAACATAAAATAATGAATGTACACTGCGTCACTGAATAGCTCAAAAAGGCATTAAAGAATACTACACAATTGAATAGACATGGAAATATCACCAGAAACCCCATTGCCTGCAGATATCAATTAGTCCAACTTTAGATACTGTTTAGCATAGCAATGACTACGAAATAGTAAAGAGCATTCTGACCAATAAGACGGATACTTTGGATCCAGCTTGGACTAAACAAAAGATATTATTTATAAATAGAAGCATGTCTTGTTCATTAACATCTCCAAAATATTCTGCCATAGTTAGGGCAGTCAAACCAACTCTCGTATGAGCAATCAAGGGTGGAGACATTTTAGACTCTTTTCTTTCCAAATCTGGCAAACCTGACATCACTAACAATTACAAAATTGAAGAATAATCTCGTTTAGAGATATTTCTTAGCTCACGCTAGTTCCATATTCCACTCACCAACAGGTCCTTCCAAAATTACAAAATTGAAGGGTCCACTACCCGTCCTCCTCCTGTGCTGGAGAGGAGAAGATCAAGGGCTTTCTAGTCCCAGCAGCTTGACCACAAAACAGGCTACTGGAATCAATATCCAGCTTAACACGCCAAAACTTTTCTTGTAAGTGTAGTCAGCACCTCAGCAGCCAAATCCAGCATTTCTGCAGTGCTGTTTGGTGGAAATGGGAAATCAGAGCAAATATCTCAATCTACGCAAAACTAAAAGATATAGAAAGAAGAAACATCTAACATCTTTTAGTTTCCAGAAGCACATGAAATAGACATCTATAATGCGTTTTTAGTCCATGATAAGAGCTTCTCTTATTTCACATAAAGAATCAAATAACATAAGGTCACGTATTCAAGTCCTTTTGTTCATACATTAATAAAAAATTTGCACAAAGTTCATTTTCTGATCAAGAAATGTACTAATTATGAAGAGACTTTATCATCATGGCAATGCTTGTTTCACGAGTGCACAATCACGCTCAGCTTGAGGTTTGCGGAGAACAGAATCTTGAAAGCAAGAAAAACTTGTCGATGGTTGAAATTTCTGGTGAGGCCTTTCTTCCAGCACTACAAAGATGAAGGACATTCTGCTGAAACTCCTTTGAGCTTGACAGGTGATGTTCAGGTGGTTTCTACTCTCAACTGCTTGACTGCAGACAAGGCTCCTGGTATCAATACTCTTGGTGTACATCCTTTGACTTGTGTTTGATGTTCTATAATGTAGGCAACAACCAAATCTAGCATTTCTGCTGTGTTTGTTCGCTGCAAATGGGAGATTGAATTAAATACCATGAACTCTTGGCAAAACTAACAGACAAGTAAAAAAGAAACATCAGTCAAAGATTCTACCGAGATATGATGGTTTCAGCATGCATTCACTAGTTTGATTTCTTCTTACTTAAAAGAATTGCTGCCTTTAGACTTAAAGAACACCATAACACAACGTAATATGTGCTTTTTAGGCATGTGTCTTAATACAGAGCTGAAAATTCTGAAAACAGAACATACAAGAAATTAACCAGCAATGAAGAGACTTTACCGTCTGGTAAATGCTTCTTCGATAAGTTTCTCAATCATGCTTTGATTGAATTTTACAAGGCATAGAATCTTGAAACCAGAGAAACTTTGTACTTAGTGGCAGAAGGGTTTTGGTGAAATCAAGACATCATGAGCCTACGTGCAAGGAATTTCCTGCCTCCTTAATCTATCTTGCGACAAGAGTTGCAGTTCGACCTCAAGTACAAAGAAAACAATTCATATAAACTCAATTCAACAAAACTGTGATGGTGAAAAAAAGCTGGCACACATTGGACAACGAAAAAGGAAAAATGCTACCTCAGTTTTGGATGAATTTGCACCAGCAGATACCACGTAATCATTCCAAGATCTAATGGGTAAACCATGGTTTTGGATAACAATGTGATCCTGATTTCCGCAAATCACCATTCTCCCATGGTTTTGATCCCTCTTTCAGAAGTGCGAATCCCATGCCTCTATACAGAATGATTTCATTGCCATTCTTTAGCTAGCTCCAGTAAGTCAAGATTCATAATAGGACAGTGAAGAAAATATAAATACGAGAGCCAGAAATTCAGTAGTTGGCATATAGGTCCATAAATCATCATTCCTGGTCATCAAACACACTAAACTTTGGTTTTGATAACAGAATTTTTATTTCATTTGTTCATATTTTTTTTCATGAATGAAGGATTCATTAATCAAAATCAAACTAAATATGTGGCTGAAACCTGCTGTAGAGCTGTGTAAAAGGAAACACAAAAAAAGAATCATGAACTCAAAACAAATGAACAAAACAATGGACTACTATACAACTAGAAACTATTGAAAGTTCTAAGCGCAACACAAGACATCATATTTAGGATTAGAAAGAGCATTCTACAGAAAATTAGTTTTTTGCAGCCTAAGTATGTTTAAATGATTGGTTATCAAGAAAAACTCAAGAGTTTAACTAAATTCATTAATTCAATGAAGTAATTAATTCAATGAAGTGAAATGTCAATTCCTAACACAAATTGATAAGAAAAAAAATCTTAATCGCCTTTTCTGCAAGTTCTATTGTTTTTCTGCTCAAATTTTATGATTACTTCATAGTAAAGTAGCATGATCTACTAAAGTTCCCTTTGTCCTGTACAGAAATAGACATCAGATAGACTTCAGTTGAGAAGGCTTCGTAATAAAATTTTGCGCCAGCACGAAAAGTGGTAGATGAAATGGCAGAGATATATAATTTTGCCAGCTAGTAAATATTAATCAAGGGATGCCTCCGTTTGTACCTTTAGTTCAGAAAATTTTCATCATTCTTTCATAATAATACTCCATGCTTCTCTTGTTCTGAAAGCTTTTGTCACCTTGATTCTCTCAAACATACTTGGAATGAACTTTTGCCCTAAAGTTAAAAGAATACGTTCTGACTGTCGATATTCATGCTTGCTGTTCACATCATCCGGCTCCCCGATGACATCCTCTCTATCTTGCTTTCCCCTTTTTGGCAAATCTCCTTTGAATAGTAAAAAAAGAGTTAAATTAGCAAACTTTCATATCTGGGTAATCTTATAGATGGATCATGCTTTTCTTGCTACCAATTGACTGAGACCGAACATCACATTATGAATATTACTTGCTCTTATGTATAATGTACAGAGAAATTCTTAGACTTACCTTGGCAGATGAAAATTGGGGCAAATTGTCTCCGGTTTCATCCACGAGCACTGTTATGACTGTTACAGAGGCAGTAATTATTAAAATTAGTAGGAAAAGATAAAAGAAACTTTAAAAAGTACACAGAGAGATCGACTCGCCTGTTTCTTTTATTCGTTGATTTTGCGCCCGTCAATCTCTATGTGGGGAATGTGACAAATCCTTGGCCAATAATCCCCTTTCTCCTTCTCACACCTTTCCGCCAGCAAAGGACAATCATTGATAATGAGAGATGAAAGGGAAGAGGGTAGTCTCTCTTCTGGAAAGGACTGAAGCACAGGGCACATCTCGAGTTCCAATTCTCTAAGAGACGTGAGCTGTTGAATCCACTTGTAGTCTAGAGATTTCAGATTTTCTAAATCGTAGATTGTAAGAGATGAAAGAGAGGAGGGTAGCCCCTCTCCCTGAAAGGACTGTAAATTAGGGCAGCTCATGATCTCCAATCTTGCAAGAAAGGTGAGGTGTTGAAGCCCCTTGGTGTCCAGAGATTTCAGATTTTGAAAACGCCTGATTTTAAGAAATGTAAGAGTAGAGGGCAGAAGCGTCTCTTCAGGGAAGGATTCCACATCCTCACAGTCTTCAATTCTGAATTTTGAAAGAGAGGGGAGTCGTTGCAAACCCCATTGCATGCGGTTAGCAATGAGTTTGTCGCAACACCTAATCGAAAGTGAGTGTAATTTGGATGGCAAACCCCCTTGTGGAAACGACTCAAGTTCTGGATTATCATTTATAATCAGATCCGCAAGAGAAGGGAGGAGGGAATGCATGCTTTCAGGCAATGACTGCAAGCTTGAGCACTGACTTATCTCAAGATGAATTAAATTTGGAGCAGCTAATCCTCCAGTAGGAAAATAAAATTTTGGGCATTCATAGATACGCAAGGAATTTAGAGAAACGAAATCCTTGGGATGACTCTCTAAACTAAAGGTTTTGAGTTTGTCACAACTCCCCAAATAAAGAGATTTTAGATTATGGTACAAATTCAATGGGAAATACTCGAGTGATTGATGGTCTCTTATGACAAGAGATTGAAAATGGTGGGGGAAAAGACCTATTTGTTCCACTGGTTGAAACATTGGGCCTCCATTTCCCCAAAAGTCAAAAAGCCCAGAAGACAATTTGCTTAAGTGAAACCCACCATGTTGTGAAGAATTCCAATGCCAACTTATCGCCAAGCTATTGATGACCGGACAACTCGGAAGTGAGCATGGAATCTGCCTCAGTCCGAAGATCTTAAGTGTGATTATAGAAGGAAAGTAACTTGGCACCGTCGTTAAGTTTGGACAATCTTCTATATAAAGATCTCGAAGAGCAGAGAAAGATCCATCTGCATCTTGCCATTGCTGCAATTTTGTCATTCCATTCAAATGAAAATATTTGAGGGATGCAAATGGCTTTGTTCCAGGTGAGCAGCCTCCATAGAACTCTGAACCAATCACCGTAACCTCATATGATTTTATGATGAAGAGTTCTTCTAAGGAGGATAAATGCCCCAGTGGTGGTAAGGAAGGCACGTTTTTGCATCCTTCAAGACGCAAAGTTACTATATTTGAGAAAGAAGAGTCTCCTACCCATTTGGGAAACCTGTCACTCCCATACACAACAATTGTAATACTTTTCACATTTGCATGAGGCTGCAGTTGTTCCAAAATGCCATGATGCAGTGAACCATCAGTGTCACCATACCATGTCAATATTAACTTCTCAAGCTGCTTCTTACCCTTCAAATTGGCCGCTGAAGCATCTCCGATATTCTCAACATTTTCAAGATTCCAAATACAAAGCTCTCCTCGCAGATGCTGAAGATTCCCTAATTCTTTGATGCTGGAACCATGTTGTTTTGACAAAAAGAAATCACTTAACTGTTTGAGTTTCACCAGTTTGCCCATTCCTGATGGCATTGATTGCAAACCTGTGTCTCTGATATCAAGATTGCACAGATTGGTTAATTTCATCATATTAGCCGGCAATTCAACAAGCTTTCTGCATCCATGCAAATTCAGTGTTTCCAAATTACACAAAGCACTTGCAGATTCAGGCAGCTTTTCAATTGATGTGTTTTGAAGACTCAAGCACTGTAAATGTTTCAATTCTCCGATCGACGCAGGCAAATCAGCGAGACACATGCATTCTTCCAGTACTAGTGTTTGCAAATTATGCAACTTACCCACAGTTTCTGGCAACCTTTCTATTGATACCCATTTGAGATTCAATAATCGTAGATGTTTCAAGTTGCCAATTGAATCGGATAATTCAACCATGGTTTGGGAGGATGTCAGAAACAGCACTCGCAGACGAACGAGTTTCAGCAAAATAGTATCGATGCATCTTTTCTCCAACTGCTTTAAACCCAAAATTAAGCTGCTCAAATTTGGAGCTTTGCTGATGCTCTCTAAAGCGGTGGCCTCTCGGCCCTCTCTTGCTAAACAACATAAATAACGAGCCTTTTGATTTGGTTGCCATGAATCACCATCCTTCATCGTAACGCAAAATTCCCCCCCCCCTCAAAGCTGGCCATATCATTTATAAGGTCATGCATAACAAAGCATGACGGATAATCATTTGATGGCTGAAAAAATGACCTCGATATCAGATCATCAAAGTACTTGTCACCTACTTCTCCCATCTCTTTGTCACCAAGAAAACCCTCTGCCATCCACAAAGAAACTATTCTCTCTTTAGTAAAGCTTGAACCCTTAGGAAAAATACCACAGTAAGCAAAACATTGCTTTAGATGTGGTGGAAGATACTGGTAGCTCAATATTAGAGCCGGAAGGATGCCGATATATGACTGATCCCATAGATTGCTCTTCAATATCTTTTCCCAGTACTCAGCATCTCTTGATCTGTTGCTGCAGCGTATGTGGTCTGCAAGGGCTCTTACTGCTAAAGGCAGGCATTGACACTTTTTTACTATCTCTCTGCCAATTTCTTTCAAGTGTGGATGCTCATCGGAATTTTCACCATCAAATGCATGTTTTTCAAACACGACCCAACAATCTTCTTCATCTAATTCTTTAAGATTGTGAGATGGAACAGTTGACCTGACTTTTGCCACGCACTCATACGCGTTGTCACAACAATCTTGCTTCCATGTGCCACAGAGATGAAAGGTTTGAGCAAAGACTCCCACTGATCATGATTCTCACTCCAAACATCATCTAAAACGAGTAAAACCTTCTTCTCTTTCAGTTTCTCGCTCAGCTCAGTGTGAAGCTGATCTTCAGCCATGGTATCACAATTGAGTACGCCGAACTTCTTAAGAACGTCTTTTGTCACCTTGAAAACATCCAATTTTTCTGAAACAAATACCCATGCTTTAAACTCAAACCTCTCTTTAACTTTGGTGTCGTTGTAAACATACTGGGCAAGGGTGGTTTTACCCACCCAGGCAAACCCACAATTGGAATTACGTCAAAACGCCTGCCTTTCACATCATCCGAAAGAAGCAATTCGATTATGGCTTTCTTGTCAGCATCTCTACCATAAACATCAGAATCATCAATCAAAGATGTTGTTGCAATTCTCTCTGATTGTGGTGTTCCTCCAATGCCCTCCATCAGGCCAATTACATCCTTTTGTTGCACCAAACCATCCAGATTCCGAAGGATCTTTTCCAGCTCTGGTTGCATCTCTCCCATCCCATTCTTTCATGGAATAAGAGAAGACAGAAAACTTCGCACTTGATCGCTGCAGGTCTGAGGAGTCTGTGGTTCAGCTTCCAATTCCAACTGCATAGCGTCGTAGGCAATCTCATCAAAGAAGTCATCAGCCTGAAACACAGCATGTTTGAGATCGTCTAGCCAAGCTTTCACTTCCGAATCAGTAAACTGCTTCCCCTCAGCATCATTAAGCAATTTCTTAACAGACCTCATGGTTGCCTTCAGCTTCTGCAGCTGTTCATCATCGAGTTTTCGATGTCTGAAGAAGCCAATAACCTCAGGAGAAGACTGCTTCTGCGATCAGTTCAGCCATGGTGGGGTTGTTTTAGATTTCTAAGGTTGTGTATAAGAGTAAAAGGAAAGAAAGACAGTTGCAGGAAACAACAAGAAAGAGCAGGAAAGAAGAAATCAAAGACCAAACTGCTGGAAAAAAAAAACAATGGTGTCAGTTTCCAAACAACAATTTTTTTTTTTTTTTAAATAGTTCTAAAGTCACATCTTTCATTGGCATGCTGTAAATCTGATGAGTGCTACCTAATACATTATTAAATATTTACAAGTGGACGGAAAAAGGTGAACCATCTCTTTATGAAAAACAAAGACCGCAATAATTCACTGAAACATCACATGTTCAGTATCAGTAAACTAATAGTCCTTTTTAATTTTCTTGGTATCTGTGACAATAAATAAATTAATGGTTAGTGGGAGATTGTCATGGTTCCTCTCTATTTTATTGGTACAACTATGTATCGCCGTTCAAATTTTCGTACCATAACAGAACTCTTGATTAATTTTATAAAAAACTGTCTGTAGCAGAGAAGTGAATGCTATGTTGTTCTTGTTGGTTCAACTTTGTGTTGTTGCTATTATTACATTGAAGCCACAATCTGAAAAACCTTTTGGAACAGCTCGCCTTGGCTCGGCATGAAGTCGTTGGAGAGCCGGCGGCTGGAGGACAGAGTTGGGATTGGAGGGAATGGGGAGAGAGTGACTAGTGCCGGAGATGGAGGTACTTGAGTGTCACGAACCGAACCGACGAGCCGCGATCGGCACGTAGCTTGGGGTGGGGTGACCCAATACGAGCTACGTAAACCTTAATCCTTTCTCTATTTTCTACGAAATTTCGACGAATTTCCCCTATAATTGAAGGATCCCAAAAATAATATCTTTCCTGCATAAAAATCACAATATATGTACACTTTCAAATCATCTTCACCAATTCTCAATCATCATCAAGTCCTTCCATTTGGACATCCACACTTTCTCATAAATTTCAGTATTTACTAAATTGACAAAAATACACATAATCCAATACTTAACATAACCAAATTTAATAATCACCATTTATCCATCCAAATACAAAACATAGAGATCTTTAACTAGCTATCCCCGGATTTGGTGATGCTAGCAATGGAGCAACTAAGTGAAATAAAATACATAATGACTAATTACAATTCCAAAATGGACAATGAATACAAATTTGAAACAACCATGTCCTATACCCGAAGGAAGCAAAATAATATCCGGGTAGTACCTTCAAATCCAGGAAATCTATCGTCCTCCTTCTATGATCTAGCTTCGTATTATCTACAAAATATTTGAGGTTTAGGGAGGGTGGGTTTTCAAAACTCGGTAAGCATAACACATATTATAACTCGCTATACATACAATTATGCCAATGCACCTATCATACATGATTTGCGACCAAGCAAGCAATCAATAGCTTTTTCTTTCTTTCTTAACAATTAATAATAACATAAAAATTTCTTGAAATCACTCTATGCGAATCGTCTATTCCTTTGGCCCTCAAAAGGGTAACTATGGCCCTCGCAAGGGTAATTGTAAACTCTAGCCCCCGCAGGGTAAACTCTAAGGGAAGCACTACGGCCATTCCCTAGTCGAGCAATACTAGGTGCACCTAGGCTAACTATAACCCCGTTAGCTTAGTTAGTCCCGCATAGACTTCTTTCAAGTCATAAATCTCGTTATTCTCATTCAAGTACATAGCAATCACACAATTCCATTTAATGCAAGTGATCATCATATCAACATGCACATATACCATACAATGTATCAATATTCTCTTTAATAACCACAATTCATACGGCAACATATCAATTCAATTCATCTCTACTAAAATAATTCAATTCACATGCAATTATTTTTAATAATTAAGCATTTATCCAAACAATCAATTTTTCACTTCACAAGCAATATAGACATATATGATAGTAAAGACTCATAATAGGTGTTATACTTACCTCTAATATAGAGGAACACCCCAAATTATAATTGTGTCTTCCTTAAGCAGACTTCTTCCACCAAATCCTCTCTTACCTCTATCATCATAAATTTGTGTTCATCAATAATAACAATAATTAGACACTAATAAATTGAAATTCAAGCTTAATTGGACCCTAATAACCCATTCACTCACTTTCTCCAAATTTTCCTAAGCTAACATAAACCCCGATTTTAATTAAACCTAATCCCTAATTCAAATTCTTAATTCAAAAACGAAATTCACTAAATTACCTATAACCAATCCTAATTAAGGTTATAATTAACTAAAACATTCAAAAAAAAATCTAAAAACTAACTTAATAAATCTTTTTCCTTCTTCCTTATTTCACCTCTTTTTACCCTTATTTTTCTTCTCCTTACCCGAGTCACTCCACCACTGCCGTCGCCGGAGCTTTCGCGGAGTGGGTGGTCGCCGGCGAGTCTTCTTCTTCCTCTCCTTCCTTCTCCTCTCTTTCCTTTCTTCTTTTTCTTTCTCTCCCCCTTTCCCGTTTTTCTTTTGTTTCTCTTTTCCGGTTTCGCCAATTCTTTCCCCTTTGTTTCTTTATTTTCTTTGTTTTTAAATTACCCTAATGCCCCTCATTTAAAAACTCCTCTCTTATTTACTTACATGGGTTTATGGGTATTACATTGAGCCGAGCCGAGGGTGGAGCCGAGCTGGTGGATGTAACCGGCTTCTTCTTCTTGTTCAATGAAGAGAAGAAGAAGACAGAGCGAGGAGTTTGCGGTTTTCGAATGTTGTAATTTATTACGTGGGCATTAAATTTGTTTCTATTTTTTATTTGTTTTTTTAGTATGAATTCAAATTTTGTGATTTGAGAGGGAATTCTTTAATTTTATAATACACAAAGAGTAACTAGTGACATATACGGTAGTTACTCCTTGGGCCCACTTTGAGGAGAGAGATAAACACACAAAGAGAGAGAGAGAAAATAAGAGAGAGAAAATAAAAAAATTTGAGCAAACGTGGAAATTTTCTTATCACTTTTGATGGGTATAAATGTAATTTCTCTCTTTTTTTATGTGTCTATCTCTTTTCTCAAAGTGGATACAAGGAGTAACTACCGTACATGCCACTAGTTACTCCTTGTGTATTATAAAATTTTCCAAGTTGAACATCGATTATTTATTGAAAAAAATGATAAATTAATCATTTTAGTTTTGAGAAATAAATTGATTAGTCTCTCTTATTTAAAACAACTAATTTTTTATTTCTTGTATTTTTTTAACTTAGTCATTTTTATTCCTTTTCAATTTTATTTTGATTTTTTATTTTAAAAAATAGAAAAATAAAAAATAAAAAAATGAAAGGATAGATAATAAAATATGATATTTTCTGAAATTATGTCATATTAAATTAAATGTGATCAACACTTAACGGATTAAATAATTATTTTTTTAAATTAGAGGGATTAGTTAATTTGTTTCTTGAAAAAAGAAGGACTAATTTATAATTTAGTCTCCCCCACTAGCATGAACAACTTTGACAAATATTGAAGTGACTCGTGGGGTTTTGTTTGTTCTGAATTTGAATTTGAGAAATCTTAGGGAATTTGAGAAATCTTAGGAAATTTCTTGTAAAATGGTATGAAGTAGGTGAATTGATGGGTGCTAATTTGGCAATCAAAATGTTAATTCAAAATTCATTGTATTTACTTACATAAAAGAAAGATTTTGTATTTCAGATCAAATTAGGCAGATATTTTGGACCAAAAATTATATATATAAACAGGCTATCCACAACTAGCATATTACATTAAAAAAAGTGTTTTATTTTTTTCTTACTTTTTTTCTTTTAAAATTAATATCTTTCAGGTAAATAAATTCTAGACACATGAACATAAAATTGTTCGTAGTCGACAACATAAAGATTCAAATATAAAACAAGCATGATGCTTTTACCACATAATTATGAATCCTATTATATAATTGTATAATGATTAGGTATCAACATATCAAGATAGGAGACAATATCATAAATTAAGATTTCCTTTGCATAAATACATATTAAAGTCTAAGAACATGTTTACATGTGAAAATTTGTCAACTGTTACCGATTGTGTTATCCTAGCATCTTCGTTTATGATATATTCTTAACAAAATCATAACAAATTTAAGGTTAGAAGGTTCAAAACTCCTTTGAACTTTTAAGTTGTTTTTTTAATTTCAAGTTGGATGTTATTTAAACTATTTTCATATGAATTTGGATCATTTTATGATGCTAGCATCTTTGTTTATGATATATTCTTAACAAAGTCATGGTAAATTTAAAGTTAAAAAGTCCAAAACTCTTTTAAACTTTTAAGTTATTATAACATGCAATTGCAATTTTTAAATAGCTAAAAATATATCAAAATTCATTGATGTTTTACTCTTTTTTTCTTTTTCAAAAACTTGTTTCTTCCCTTCTAAATGCTAATAAGTTAGCAAATAAAAAGTATTTTTTTTTAGAAAGAAAGAAAGAAATAAGTTTTAAAGGGGAAAAAAACAAAGCATATAAAATTTTTAGTATATTTTTATCTCCTGAAAATTTTTTTTAAAAATCAACTATATATAAATTATGTGTACTTAAAGCATTAGAATTAGTGAAACCTAATCGAACAATTAAATTCAAATGAAAATAGTTAAATAAAATCCAATTCAAAATTAAGTTTGAGAAGCTAATTATTAAATAATTTAAAGTTCAATTAAAATTAAAAAATTAATTCTCAAATAATTTAAAATTCAGTTAAGCAAACAGCAGCAACGGTTATTCCTTGCAGCATGACACAGTTGAAGGCCCTCGGCCTGGGAGCATTCAGAATGGCAGAAATTTCCAGCTCAGGTTTTTAACAAACTCAGAAGACGAGCATACAGAGGAGGGAAAGAAATGCTGAAGGGAGGAAAAAAAAAAAAAAAAAACAGATGAACTCAATCCGACAAATCGTCACTCAAATTAGATTCTTTTTAGTCTATTCCTGAGGTTCTGAAATGATTCTTACCTTTGTTTTGGATGCATTAGCATAATGATAGCTACTGCTTTATCAAATTAACATCCTTCCATTACAGCGTAACCTGCAATTTGCTTGAATTTAAGGCCAATTTTCTTTTACTGTAGACAAGACAAGGTTCATAATCGAAAAGTGTTCATCTGGTCTCTTGCCTTGAAAATGCACTGAGCTTCTCTGCTCTTAGTCTGATGGTCTGCTTGTGCCTTGCACAACTCCTTTGACCTGTAAAAACAAGAGGTAGATTAGGCTGATATTAGGAGATGTAAGAGTGGAAGCATCTCTTCGGGAAAGGTTTCCACATCCAGCTGGAACCAGAAGGAGAAATCACAATTGTAAGAGTAGATTTAAGATTTAACATACTCCAGTTGTCTTTTCAGGTCATTAGAAGTTCTGCAGCCAATCCAGCGTTTCTGCTGTGTTTGTTTCCTGCAAATGAGGAATCAGAGTAAATATCTCAATCTACTCAAAACTAAAAAGATACAAGGAAGAAGAAACATCAATGGAAGGTTCTACTAAGATCTTGAAGTTTTCCACATGCGCTCACTGATTTAATTTCTTCTCAGCTACATATAATCCACACAGATATAGACATCTACAATATTGTTTGGTAAAAGCTCATATTTCACATAAAGAACCGTACACAAGGTTAGTTTACCAAATTCTGTTCATACAGCAGTAGCAAAATTTGAAAAAAATTGATTAAGGAATGAACCGATTACGAAGAGACATTTATCCCTCTTGGCAATGTTTCTCTGGCAAGTAGAACAATCATGCTCGGCTTGAAATTTGCAAAGAACAGAATCTTGAAAGCAGAAGAACTTCTACATGGTTGAATTTTTGCAAATTCAGGGTATGAGCAAACATTGACGGGCCTTTCCTGTCTCTCTATAAACCAAAAAAAGAAATCAATATTAATCCAAACTTTCGGCAAACTGTTGTGATAATTGATAAGGAATAAAAGCTGCCAGAGATTGATAAAAAAAAAAATGCTACCTCGGTTTGGGATGCAATATTTTCACCAGCAGGCATAGCATAATCATTCCAATATCCATTATTCACCAAATACACTTTTCTCCCACGCCTCTCAGTGCAGCATAGCCTGCCATTTGCTAAGATTATGTCAAAGCCATTTTATTTTGGCTCAAGCAAGTCAAGATTCATAATAGGAATTTGTAGAAAATAAAAGGCAAGAACCTGAAAGTTTGTAGATTACAAAGCTTTTATTTATTTGATTCTAACTTTCAAGTTCCACTTGTTTGTTCAAATGATTGGTTATGAAGAAAAGTTTCAAGAGATTTAACCAAAATTTATCACTTCAATGAAGCGAAATGTCAATTTGTAACTCTGGTAGTTAGGAAACAAAATCTTCACTCACTTCATTGAAGTGATAAGCAAACTTGATTGAGAAGAAAATGAATTTAATTTCATATAATTCTAAGCTGCCTCCAGGACTGAGAGAAAAGTCTCTTGACAAAAATTCATCATGTTCCAGCTTCATGCCTGTTGAAAAACCATTCGAAGAATTTTCTGCCTAAGATATCATAGGAATATAACTTTGATGCAGTTTCTTACCTCATCAACCCAGAATTCATCTTTGTTTGGTGAAGTTTTCGGTATTGACAAGTCTCTCTCACTTCGATTGGTTCTCTGTTTGTGGATTACGATTTTGAAATTCCAACTCAGTACTCTTTGCGAGTCTTTTATTGAACATCAACAATTACTTGGAAGAAGGAACAGCACAATGCATATGAAATTTCTTACGCTTCAAAACCTTGACCAGTACAAAAAGAGGTAAATTAGAACCAGTACAAAAAGAGGTAAATTAGCAAACTTTCATATCTGGATAATCTTATATAATGAAGCAAATTAGTGAATTAATATTGCTCCTGGGTCTTGATAGATCATACGTTTTTTGCTACCAATTGACTGAGATAGAATTATGAATATTACTTCTATCACTTATGTATAAATTACAGAGAAATTCTTAACTTACACTGGCAGCTGAAGATTGAGGGAACCTTGCGAGCATAATAAGGAAAATTTGACGCCCGGTTTCGTACACAAGCACTGTCATGACTGTTACAGAAGTAGCAATTAATAAAAAAGGTTTGAGTATGAACTTGTTGAAAATCTGTCAGAAAATGAATAGAATTGTTATAAAATAAGTCCATGCTAGCATCTTGTTCGTGTTAATAATAAACCTCTGTAGAATTACAAAATTGAAGGGCCCTCTGCCTGATGCTGGACAAATAAAGATCAGGGAATTTCTAGTCTCAGTAGCTTGATCACAAACAAGAAATGTACCAATTATGAAGATTCTTTACCATCTTGGCAATGCTTCTTTTATCAGTGGCAGAATCATGCTCGGCTTCTTGAAGTTTGTATGGAACAGATTCCTGGAAGCAAGAAAACTTCTATCTATGGTTGAAATTTTCTGCTGAGGTTTTTGACAAATTCAAAATTTGAGCATATATAGATGGGTCTTTCTTGGTTTGTTCAACAGGAAGAGTTACAGTTAGTAAAAAGAAATTCAATTCGACAGAACCTTTATTCTCAATTTAGTTTATGAAGGCTACATTAATCCTTTTCTTCCCATTCTCCTGTTTTCAACCAAACTTTCAATAAACTGTTGTGATGCGGAGAAAAATCTGGCAGACATTATTAAAAAAAAAAAAAACTACCTAACTTTGGGATGCATTTGCACCAGCAGATGTCGTATGATCATTCCAATATCCAGTAGAGAAAACAGCAAAAACAAAACCACTGCTATGAGCTATTGCCAAACCCTGGATAATAGGCCTTAAAGGGTAAGTTACGGCCAAACCACTAACTCAAATTAAACTTGTTAGCTTAACTAAAGGCAGAGATAATGTTACAGCTTACATTTTTTTTTTTCAGAGGCCCATAAGCATCGTGCCTTTTAGGACGCCTGTTAATGTTCTTCAACTTCTTAGAAAGATTGTCAAGCTTTCCTATATGTACTTTGAGAAGAAGTGGCTTCAGCAGTGAATCTGGGCAAATTCTCTCTTTCCTTTTTTTGTTCAACATGAGGTCCTATGAAATTTGAACTATACAGCGAAGGATAGCCAAATTTTGTTCTGGGCCAAATCTTATTGACAGACTGGGGTTATGTCAATTATGCTTGTAGCTAGAACAATCATAGTTTAATTGGCTACTTGAAAAAATCACGGTTAAAGATCGCTTATATCATCTTCTAATTAAGCAGTTTTGGGAAATATGACATCTGTTTCAAAAAAAATAGAAATCATTTGGAAAGAGAAGGAATTGTTTCAGAAAAACCAAAGCTTTCAGAAAACACTGCAATTTGATGAAATTTTTCCTTCAAAGAAAAAGAATTCTCATTATGAACGCTGTACATCTGAAAAGCTAACTCTCAAGACTAAAATCAATAACAAAGATCAAGTGAATAGGGCAAAATAAAAGATTTCTAATGAGTATTCTGTTTCTATACATCAACAAGCATCCCATTGCCTGCAGATACCCAAAATTAGATACATCTTCTTGAAGTATTGTACTGATGAGTATCCGGTTTCTGGCTGAAAATTCTATAGAAGCGAAAATAACAACTGTGCCTTCTTTGAAATCCTCTGTCTCCAAATCCGTTAATGAAATAAATTATTTCTTTTAGACATGTTGTCTAGCCCATGTTGGTTCCATATTCTTTTTATGAAAAATTCTTTCTTCTGGCATTACAAAAGTTGAAGGAACTTCCGCTGAACCTCCTTTGGGCTTGACAGGTGATGGTCAGGTGGTTTCCAGTCTCAACAGCTTGACTGCAAAGAAAGGCTCCTAGGATCAATACTCTCGGTGTACATCCTTTGACTCGTGTTGATGTTCTTTAATGTAGTCAACAAACCAAATCTAGCATTTCTTCTGTGTTTGTTTGCTGCAAATGGAAGATCAAATTAAATGATGTCAACTCTTGGCAAAACTAACAGATAAGTAACAAAGAAACATCAGTCAAAGATTCTACCTAGATCTTATAGTTTCAGCATGCATTCACTAGTTTGATTTGTTCTACTTAAAAGAATTGCTGCCTTTAGACTTAAAGAACACCATAACACAATGTCGTTAGTACTTTTAAAATCCTTTTCTTTATACAGAGCAGAAATTTTGAAAACAGTGCATTTTATCACAAAAAATTAACCAAGAGTGAAGATAATTTACCCTCTGGGAAATGCTTCTTGGATGAGTTTCTCAATCATGCTTTCGTCGAATTTGACAAGGCATAGAATCTTGAAAACACAGAAACTTTGTACTTGGTGGAAGAAATTTCTGCTCAGGTTTTGGCAAAATCAAGACATCATGATCCTATGTAGAAGGAATTTCCTGCCTCTTTAATTTGTCTTGCGACAAGAGTTGCAGTGAGACCAAAAGTACAAAGAAAAAAAAATCATATAAACTCGATCCAACAAATACTGTGATGGTGAAAAAAGACCTCTATAATACGTTTTTAGTCTACGATAAAAAATTCTCTTATTTCACATAAAGAACTAAATAACATAAGGTCACGTATTCAAGTCCTTTTGTTCAGACATTAATAAAAAATTTGCACAAAGTTCATTTTCTGATCAAGAAATGTACCAATTATGAAGAGACTTTATCATCTGGGCAACGCTTGTTTGATGAGTGGCACAATCACGCTCTGCTTGAAGCTTGCAAAGAACAGAATCTTGAAAGCAAGAAAAACTTGTCAATGGTTGAAATTTTTGGTGAGGCCTTTCTTCCACCATTACAAAGTTGAAGGACCTTCTGCTGAAACTCCTTTGAGCTTGACAGGTGATGGTCAGGTGGTTTCTACTCTCAACAGCTTGACTGCAAAGAAGGCTCCTAGGATCAATACTCTTGGTGTACATCCTCTGACTTGTGTTTGATGTTCTATAATGTAGTCAACAACCAAATCTAGCATTTCTGTTGTTTATGTTTGCTGCAAATGGGAGATTGAATTAAATACTATACACTCTTGGCAAAACTAACAGCCAAGTACAAAAGAAACATCAGTCAAAGATTCTACCGAGATCTTATAGTTTCAGGAATCATTCACTACTTTGATTTCTTCTTACTTAAAAGAATTGCTGTCTTTAGACTTAAAGAACATCGTAATACAATGTAATTAGTACTTTTTAGGCCCATGTCTTTATACAGAGCTGAAAGTTTTGAAAACTGTGCATTTTATCACAATAAATTAACCAGCAATGAAGAGACTTTACTGTCTGGTAAATGCTTCTTGGATGAGTTTCTCAATCATGCTTTGGTTGAATTTTACAGGGCATAGAATCTTGAAACCACAGAAAGTTTGTAATTAGTGGCAGAAGGGTTTTGGTGAAATCAAGACATCATGAGCCTACGTCCAAGGAATTTCCTGCTTCCTTAATCTATATTGCGACAAGAGTTGCAGTTAGACCACAAGTACAAAGAAAAAAATTCATGTAAACTCAATTCAACAAAACTGTGATGGTGAAAAAAGGAAACCAACAAAGTGATCCCTATTTCTGCTACCTCAGTTTTGCATGCATTTGCACCAGCAGACCACCAATGTGATCCCTATTTCTGCAAACCACCATTCTCCCATGGTTTCGATCCCTATTTCAGCAGTACGAATCCCATGCATCTATACAGAATGATTTCAATGTCATTCTTTAGCTCCAGTAAGTCAAGATTCATGATAGGACAGTGAAGAAAATATGAAGGCAAGAGCCAGAAATTCAGTAGTTGCCATATAGGTCCATAAATCATCATTCTTGGTTAATCAAACACACTAAACTTTGGTTTTAATTTCAGAATCTTTATTTCACTTGTTCATATTTTCTTTTTCATGAATGAAGGATTCGTTAATCAAAGTCAACTAAATATGTGGCTGAAACCCATAGAGCTATATAAAAGGAAACACGAGAGAAGAATCATGAACTCAAAACAAATGAACAGAACAATGGACTACTATACAACTAGAAACTATTGAAAGTTCTAAGCGCAACACAAGACATCATATTTAGGATTAGAAAGAGCATTCTACAGAAAATTAGTTTTTTGCAGCCTAAGTATGTTCAAATGATTGGTTATCGAGACAAACTCAAGGGTTTAACTAAATTCATCAATTCAATTAAGTGAAATGCCAATTTGTAACACAAGTTGATAAGAAAAAAAAATCTTAATTGCCTTTTCTGTAAGTTATACTGTTTATCTGCTCAAATTTCATGATTACTTCATAGTAAAGAAGCATGATCTACTGAAGGCTTCGTAATAAAATTTTGTGCCAGCACGAAAAGTGGTAGATGAAATGGCTGAGATATATAATTTTGCCAGCTAGTAAATATTAATCAAGGGATGCCTCCGTTTGTAACTTTAGTTCAAAAAATTTTCATCATTCTTTCATAATGATACCCCATTCTTCTCTTGTTCTGAAAGCTTTTGTCACCTTGATTCTCTCAAACATACTTGGAATGAACTTTTGCCCTAAAGTTCAAAGGAATCCGTTCTGACTGTCGATATTCATGCTTGTTGTTTACATCATCTGGCTCGCCCATAACATCCTCTCTATCTTGTTTGCCCCTTTTTAGCAAATCTCCTATGACCAGTAAAAAAAGAGGTAAATTAGCAAACTCACATACCTGGGTAATCTTATAGATGGATCATGCTTTTCTTGCAACCAATTGACTGAGACCGAACATCACATTATGAATATTACGTCTATCTCTTATGTATAAAGTACACAGAAATTCTTGACTTACCTTGGCAGATGAAAATTAGGGCAAATTTGTCTCCGGTTTCATCCACAAGAACTGTTATAACTGTTACAGAGGCAGCAATTATTAAAATTAGTAGGAAAAGATAAAAAAAAACTTTAATAAGTACACAAAGAGATAGACTCACCTGTTTCTTTATTAGTTGATCTCGCATAAATCGATCTTTTTGCGGGGAATGTGACAAATCCTTGGCCAATAATCCCCTTTCTCCTTCTCGCACCTTTTCGACAGCAAAGGACAACCGTAGATTTCCAGAGAAGAAAGGGAAGAGGGTAGTCCCTCTTCTGGAAAGTACTGGAGCACACGGCAAAACCCGAGTTCCAATTCTCTAAGAGACGTGAGGTGCTGCATCCACTTGTAGTCTAGAGATTTCAGATTTTCTAAATCGTAGATTGTAAGAGATGAAAGAGAGGAGGGTAGCCCCTCTCCCGGAAAGGACTGTAAGTTACGGCATTTCAGGATCTTCAATTCTGTAGGAGAGGTGAGGTGTTGAAGCCCTTTGGTGTCCAGAGATTTCAGATTTTCTAAATCGATGATTGCAAGAGATGTAAGAGTAGAGGGCAGAAGAGTCTCTTCAGGGAAGGATTCCACATCCTTACAGCCTTCAATGGTGAATTTTGAAAGAGAGGGGAGTCGTTGCAAACCCCATTGCATGCGGTTAGCAATGAGTTTGTCGCAACACTCAATCGAAAGTGATTTTAAATTATAGTACAGATTGAAGGGGAAGTACTCAAGTGAATGATGGTATTTTATTTCAAGATATTCAAAATGGTGGGGGAAAAGACCTGCTTGTTCTACTTGTTGAAACTTTGGGCCATCGGCTCGGAGATGGTAAAGCCCAGAAGACAATTTGCTTAATTCAAACCCACCATGTACGAGAAACGAAGGCCAATTTATCAGCATTCTACTGATGATCGGACATCTCGGAAGTGAGGATGGAAACTTCCCACATCCTTTTATCTTAAGTGAGATTATAGAAGGAAAGTAACTTGGAATTGTCGTTAAGTTTGGACAATCTTCTATACAAAGATCTCGAAGAACAGAAAAAGCTCCATCTGCATCGTGCCATTGCTGCAATTTTGTCATCCTTCTCAACTTTAAATATTTGAGGGATGCAAATGGCTTTGTTCCAGGTGGGCAGTCTCCATAGAACTCTGGACCCATCACCGTCACCTCATAAGATTCTATGATGAAGAGTTCTTCTAAGGAGGATAAATGCCCAAGTGGTGGTAAGGAAGACACGTTTTTGCATCCTTCAAGATGCAAAGTTACTATATTTGAGAAAGAAGAGTCTCCTACCCATTTGGGAAACATGTCACTCCCATATCCAACAACTGTAATGCTTTTCACATTTGTATGAGGCTGCAGTTGTTCTAGAATGCCATGATGCAGAGAACCATCAGTGTCACCACCCCATGTCAATTTTAACTTCTCAAGCTGCTTCTTACCCTTCAAATCGGCTGCTGAAGCATATCCAGCATTCTCAAGATTTTCAAGATTCCGAATACAAAGCTCTCGCAGATGCTGAAGATTCTCCAAATCTTTGATGTTGGAACCATGTTGTTTTGCCAAAAAGAAATCATTTAACCGTTCAAGCTTCACCAGTTTACCCATTCCAGATGGCATTGATTGCAAACTTGTGTCTCCTATATCAAGATTGCACAATTTTTTTTTAATTTCATCATGTTAGCTGGCAATTCAACAAGCTCTCTACATCCATTCAAATTCAGTGTTTCCAAATTACACAAATCACTTGCAGATTCAGGCAATCTTTCAATTAATGTTTCTTGAAGACTCAAGCACCGTAACTGCTTCAATTTTCTAACGGAATCAGGCAACTTGGTGAGACATGAGCATTCATCCAGTATTAGTGTTTGCAAGTTATACAACTTACTCATAGTTTCCGGCAACCTCTCTATGGATGCTGAATGGAGACACAAAATCGTAGATGTTTCAATTTGCCAACTGAATCAGTTAATTCATCCAGGCTTTCAGGAGAAATCAGAAACAGCACTCGCACACGTTTGAGTTTCAGCGTAATATCTACGAATCCTTTCTCCAACATCTCTGCATGTTCAAGTAGTAAACTGTGCAAATTTGGGGCTTTAAAGATGCTCTCAATAGCACTGGAATTTATTTCTGAACCATATAAATAACGAGTCCTCTCATTTGGCTGGCAGGAAACATCACCCTCGATCGTAAAGCAAAATTCTCCTGCAACAAATTTGGCCAAGCCATATAAAAGGTCATGCATAACAAAGCGTGACGGATCATCATTCAACAGCCGAAAAAATGACCTCGACACTAGACCATTAAAGCACTCATCGCCTTCTTCTTCCATCATCTCGCCTCCTAGAAAGCCCTCAGCCATCCATAAAAGAATTATTATCTGTTTAGAAATTTCTGAACCCTTAGAAAACATGCCACAGTAAGCAAAGCATTGCTTTAGTTGTGGAGGGAGATAGTGATAGCTCAACCTTAGAGCAGGAAGGATGTTATTATTTGAACTATCCCATAGATTGCTGTTTAATATCTTCTTTCAGTACCCAACATCTCTTTTCCTGCTGCAACGTAGGTGGTCTCCAATGGCTCTTGCTGCCAAAGGTAGGCCTTGGCACTTTTTCGCTAATTCTCTGCCAATTTCCTTCAAGTCCGGATGCTCATTGGAATTTCCATCAACAAATGCATGTACCAAACAATCTTCTTCAGATAATTCCAGTAGATGATGAGATGGAACAGTTGACCTGACTGATGCTACGGCTTCATGACGTGTTGTGATGAGTATCTTGCTTCCGTGTTTCACGGTGACAAAAGGTTTGAGTAAGAAGTCCCAGTCATCCGTCTTATCGCTCCAAACATCATCTTAAACAACCAAAACCTTCTTCTCTTCCAACTTCTTCCGCATCTCGGTGTAAAGCTGATCTTCAGTCATAGTATCACAGTGGTCAGTATTGAGCTTTCTAAGAATGTCTTTCGTCACTTTAAGGACATTGAATTCTTCTGAGACATACACCCATGCTTTGAAGTGAAACCATGTGCTGTCATCATAAACAGACTGAGCAAGGGTAGTTTTACCTATTCCAGGTAGACCCACAATGGGAATCACATCTAGCCTCCTGCCTTTTGGATCATCTGACTGCGAGAGCTTTATTATGACTTCCTTGTCAGCTTTCCTACCATAAAAACCATATTCATCCACCCCGGAGGTTGTTGGTATTTTCCATGAGGATGGTTTTCCTCCGACGCGCTCTATCAGGCCAAGGGCATCATTTTGTTGCACCAAACCTTCCAAATTCTGAAGCATCTTTTCCAACTCTGGTTGCATCTCTCCCATCCCCCTTTTACATGGAATAAGGGAATAGAGGAAGCTTCTCATCTGATCACTGCAGGTCTGATCAGGAGTTTGTGGTCCAGCTTCCAACTCCAGCAGCATAGCGCCATAAGCAATCTCATCCAAGAAATCATCAGCTTCGTAAACAGCATCTTTGAGATCGTCAAGCCAAGCTTTCACATCTGGGTTAGTAATCTGCTTCGTCTCTGCATCATTGAGTACCTTGTTAACAGACCTCATGGTTGCCTTCATTTTCTTGAGCAACCCGTCATCAAGTTTTCGATGGTTGAACAAGTCAATAACCTCAGGAGAAGTCAGCTTACTGATCAAAAGATTGACACCAACCGAGACCAGTGGTCCTACGATGAACGCTTCAGCCATAGCAAAAACAAAGCAGGGAAATGGTCTGAAGGTAGAAGAAAAACAGATGCAGCAAATAACAAAAACAAAGCAGGGAAGAAGAAATCAAAGATTTAATTTGATCGAAGATCTAGCTTATGGGCTTAACACCTTATCGGCAGATTCGGAAAAAAATATTGCCACGTGAAGATAAAATATGTAATAATTATTGACGCATAGATATTAGGTGCCGGATAAAACCAACAGAGCGATTATTATAAGACCAAACTGCTTGGAAAAAAACAATGGGGTCAGTTTCCTATCAAAAATTTAAAAATTTTCCAATAGTTCTGAATTCATATCTTTCATTGGAAGGGTGTGAATCCTGCACAAACAAACATGGACCGCAGAGGAGTCCTGGCATGCTACATAATACATTATTAAATATTTAAAAGTGGAGAATTGGCAGGTAAAATGTTCACTTCAAACAAACTTTCAAGGCATTAAATCTTTATTATCTTGAGATGTTTCTATTGGATATGATTACCTGCTCTGCTTTATACAGGATTAAACATTTAAAGTGGATGAAAATAAAATTGGCATGAACCACCATAGCCACATACAGGCAGCTATAAACATAAGATATATACATGGCAGGTAAACTGTTTACTTCAAACACATTTTCAAAGAAAAAATACATATATTGTTGCCTTTTAGACTCTTTTAGCAGTTCAATCGACAAAGACAAAATCCTACACATAATAAAAGCCACAGTTACGGGCGTAAAGTTTCGAATAGACTATAATGCTCCTATTTTATTTTTAATTGTCAAGTTGTGATTTGTCTTTTTTCAGTAAATTTAGAATCATCATCAAGTTTTCGACGTTTGTAGGAGCCGATGATAATCTCAGGAGCTGCTAGCTTATTTATCAAAAGAATAATGACAGCAGAGACAATCGATCCTCCAATCAATGCTTCAGCCATATTGGGTCTTGCAACGACTGGGAATGAAAAGAAAAACAGATGAAGCAAAAGGCAAAACATATATTGAGCTAAGATATTCGGCGTTTGATTGCCAATGTGAAGTTGAAAATGATGGGAAAAAAATTCTGGATGTGTTCATAAAACTTAGAGGATACTAATATATGTATCGAAAGGTACATTGTTCATTTGGAGGATGCGAATCTTGTGTACCAACAGGACAACTGAGCCTTCCTGATGCCCTACCCTATCAGGAATAAATACTTCAATAATTACAAGCACCTTTGGCATGGACGTTTTCAAGTAATTTTAAAAGCATTAAACACTTACATTCTTAAGACATTTTGAAGGCATTAAAAATCTATATTATTCTTAGGATCCTAACCCTTTTAAAAATTCCTTTGACAGAGACAAAATCGACACAAAAATACTAATATGATTCGCTGTAGACAAAGTTATAGCTGACTTACAATTTTCAGAGGCCCAGAAGTATCATGGCAGTCAATATTTCACATGCATGCTCAAGCAGAGAATCTGGGGTGATCAGCAGAGCAAGCTACGCTACCGGTGGCAGAGGAAGAGGCGAAGAGGACGCTCGCTGTGTCGCTATTCTGGCTGCAGTACCGAAACACGAAAATGGGCTTCAGATAGTTCACAGTACGGCCCAAGTCTATGATTTCAAATTTACTGGGCCGTTTCTGATATCCATATTCATTAGTGGACAAAACTATTCTAAAACATGGCCCATTTACTTTTCAATGCCTAATTTGAACGGATCACTACTGCTTTATTTGAGGAGTAAGCCAACCCAATATGGCCCAATAAACGACGTTTAAGAGGGATAATTGAACTATACTTGCACTAATTTTTTACTTTCCCCAATCGAATATATAGATTTTTAATTTTTTTCGTTTTATTACGTTGTGTTTTTTTTTTCAAAATTATTAATAAAATATTTTTATTAATTTATTTATTAACCGATGATATATCCGTTATTCCTAAAATATCAAATTATAATTTTTTTTCCTTAATCGAGTAAAAAAACTATAATTTTTTTTATTTGAGTATATTAATTTTTTCAAAACTGTGAATTAAATACTGTCGTCAATTTCTCCATTAACCGGTAAAGAGTTTGTTACCTCTAGAATATTAAATTATGATTTTTTTTTTTTAAGGGAACGTTGCCTTTAAATTATTCTACCATTTCAAAATTTGGAAAAAAAAATTAAAAAAATATTATATTTTAACTATGAAACCCCAACCTAAATTTAAGTTTTCTGTTAAAAAAGAAAAAATTATTTAGGTTTAGGGATGAAATTAAAGAAACATACAAATGTGAGATTTTTCGAAAAAAGATTTATTGCTTGTGAGCATTTGAAAGGAAAGTTTCTTCCAACAAAAAGAGAGCAAAATTTTAATTTGATATTTTAGAGTAAAAGACTCATTATCAGTTGCTATAGCAATTGACGAAAGTACTTTATTGATAGTTTTGAAAAAAAAAAATCAATATACTCAAATGAAAAAAATTAGAGTCCATGTATTCGATTGAGATAAAAAAACGCAAAATTATAATTAGTATTTCAAAGGTAATAGACATGTCATTAGTTAAAAGAGAAATTTATGAAAATATTTGATTGGTAATTTAAAAAAAAAATTCGATATATTCAAATGAAAAAAATTAAAATCCATCCATTGAGAAAATATTAAAAATTGATATACTTACAGTGCAATTTCCTCGTCTAAAAAGACAAGTTGGGCAAACCTATAGAAGGCCTCCAGCCAAAAAATTCACCATCAGGATGCCTGAACTAGAGCTTTGCAGGATCATGTGACCATGCTGAACAAGCGTCACAGTTGGAGGTAGAAGCTGCAACAGCGAATAGAAAAAAGGAGCGTTTTTCGTTAGTCACTGACTCCTTTTAATCATCTCAGAATAGTTCCCAATTAAGCATAGCAGTGATAGAGCTCATTTTAAATGCCTGCTCTGGAAATTAAGTGAAATGGAAAATGGACAAGAGAGCTAATAAGCACATTAGTGGGAAAAACACGAGAAAAGAAAAATCAGAGTTAGAATAAAATAAGGAAAATATATAGGACGGTTTAGATGACCCATCAATACAACAGCAAAATCCTTTGCCAAACACAGCAACATTTTCAATTGTACTTTAATATAGATAATCAAGTTCAATGATGGCCAATTTTTGAGAAAGATGTGATCAGCATGGAAAAAACGATTAGATCAATACTTTCCGCTTCTCGAAAATGCAAATCAATCTCCAAAATTAAGCTGAGTTTGTTATTTTGCTTTCGATTCTAAAACAATTTTTGCAGCACTATATGAAATTGGCAAAGCAGTTAATATAGGACCAGTTGCCCTGCAGAATCTGCAGGGATAATAAAATAGGTTTGGTTTTCTGACACTGTTTGAATATTTTTTTTCAAAAATCTAAAAGTCACATGGTTCATTGAAAATCTTTCAGACAAGCATGGACTACAGAGGAGTTTTTACTCTTCATGCTCCACCAAATATTAAATATTTGTGCTTCAGAGAAATTTTCAAGGCATAGAATCTGTCTCTTAGTGTGTGCTTGTTAATGCAGAGCATGTGTTTTTATAAAAAGTGCATTTGGATTGTCTGATGTTTTTTCAGATATTTTTTTATGGTTCTTACACATTCCTATCAAAATCATTCAAAAACACTTAAAAACAAAAAACAGTTTCATGTTTTTTAAGCCAAAACGTACTATGAAAGAACTTTTTAAAGGCAGCTTTAGACCTTTCAGAAGCTGCATTGACAGAGACAAATCAACAGTAAAATGTTACAAAGTTGCCCTGGTAGAATTTCAATATCCCCATGACTCTGAGAATTTAAAAAATCCTTCGCAAAATCATTACTCCAAGAAAAAGCAGAAACTTACAAACTACAATGTCTCACTAACCACTCCTCAAAAGAAGGGGGAAAAAAACCCGAAGTCCATATAACACTTGCACTTGCCAGAGGCCCAGAAGCAATCATATTATTTAGACGGCTGTTCAGGTTACTTAACTGCTCATAGAGATTTTCAAGCTTCATTATATCTTCTTGCATGTTTGATTCAGAGGACGAGGAGGTTCTGTAGAGAGTGAGGGAAGAAGGTGGGGAAGAGACAAAGCGCCATTGCAAAGTCACCTTAGTTTCTTTCTTTATGGACTGAATTCTACGCTACGCTAGTCGGGATCTTTCAGAAAGGTCAAGACTTTGTCTAGCCCAAGTTTTTTGTCTTTCAAGGCATTGCAGTTTGCTGGGCTTGTTGGTTTGTTTTTGCTATTGGAAAAGGCCTTTTTAATGCTTGTATTTTTTTCAAATTTTATATTATCATTAAATTCATCAATAAAATTATTATTCTTATTATTTTTTTAAAAAATTTATCAATACACCCTCCATCAACATTTATTGTATAATAATTATTGATAATTGTTAAAAAATATATTGATAATTATTTAAAAATAATAAAAAAATAAATTTGATTGATGAATTTAGCACTACTCTAAATTTTAATGGCCACTACCACTCAAATGTTTGATATATATATATATATATATATAAAAGCAATATTTATCTAAATTCATATCATAAATAAGCTATAAGTGGTGTAGAAATAAATTTTATTTTTATATATATTTTTTATTTATAGGTATGAGATATTTTTGAACTAATCTTTGCATCAATCAAAACTAAATTTATTATTTTTTGAGATAAATCACCAGCAAAACATACTCAGTGGTCATTACTAAATTATCTTTTAGGCTAAACTAGTTCAAGTATAGTACTACTAAAAAATAAATTTGAATACTTAAAACACATGTTAATAGTTAACTATATTTTTATTTATTTATTTATTTATTTCACTGGTATCTTAAAGCTACAGCGTAGAAAAATTCATAAAGCAGTATTATATTTCTTCAGTAAGATTACTTATATTTTTATTGAGGAAAAATATTTTTATTGTAGATAACACATACAAACATTTCATGTGATTAAAAAGAAAATCTATCAAAAGATAAGTACATAAATTACTCCCTTTAGTTTTGCAAAAGTAATTATATAATTTTTTTAATTTAAAAATTAATTAATTAGTTTTGATTATGATTAGTTTAATATTTTTTATTTTATAAAATATTTTTTTCATTAATCTTTTCGTATTTTTTTTACTTTTTTAACGAGTGTTCTTAATGACTGTGGCTTTGCTTTTTGGGCGCAAATTAGAGTGGAGGGCAATTTTGTCCATTGAATTGAATTTTTAACTCGAATCATTAAAGTGGCCTCTGAATGACACGTGGACTATGTCGCCCTTTTGACCTGACTTGCTTTTACCCGTTGAGGTTATCTTTCCCCAATGACCATCATTACTTGAGCAAGTAAAAAACTTCCATTCTAGCGCCGACATTTTGTTCTCAATTGCCAAATTACTCCCTATAAAAATAATTTTATCAATTTGATCCTAATGGCATCCACCAACTCCCTCTGATAAACTATGCAGAGGTGGAATATAATATCCAAGTAACATCATACATTTGATGAGAACGAGCATCACGTGACACCATATATAAAAAGTTAGTGATTTTCCTTTTTTTCAATATTTGATTAATTTAAGATCAAACTTTTAGCGCATAAACATATATAACTTGTGTATATCCATAATATGATTCTTCCATTGTCTTTTTATATATATATATAAAATAGTGTCCGTTCGTTAGTCACAGTTAAAACAAAATAAATTAAAATTAATAAATATAATTAAGTGACAGATAGATTTAAAATTATATAAACGGTTTGATTAGTTGTTGAAACTAAAAAAACTATTTAATTATTTTTGAAAAATTAGAGGGACTAATACATAATTTAATCACAAAGGATACATCAATAAAAAATCAGTAATTAGTTCTTGATAATTACTTTCTTGACCCACAAATTTCTCTAGCATTAATCCATAGAATACTGACAAAACAAGTTGATTTGACATGTTCGAAAGCTCGGCAAAATCAACGTGTTTAACCCAAGTTTTGCTTCTTCTTTTTTTAAGATTTTTATGGATTTTATCCTAAAAGTTTTTAACATAAACAAAATCTGTAACTAAAAATTATTTGTTTTTTATTCAAGTTAACCTTTTTTTTAATTATTATTATTAACCCTATGCTTTTCACAAACAAAGATATACATGTTCAATGATGGCCAAATTTTTGAGAGAGATGCGATCAACATGAAAAAAAATTATTGGATCAATACTTCCCATTTCTCCAAAATTAAGCTGAGATTTTTTTTTTATCATTTTGTTATTTTTGCTTTTGATTCTAAAACAAGGTGTTGATCAGAAAATTTATTTTTTATTTATCTTAAAAATTAGTAATTTTTACCTTATTTTGACACAACTGGAATAGTTTGAAGGAAAAATTAAACCCTCTTCACTCCCTATCTCGGCCGAATAGATAAAGATTTCTGTACAGTTAAAGAAAGAATAGTTGAAACTAGAAAGCAAATTTGCAAGACGGGGACTGATACACTCTCATATTGAGGTCACCAATGACATGGCACTCACCATCTTCATGGATCTGGGCCCAATGAGACAGTGACTTGTCATCCAATCGGATCCAGCCATCATCACCACCAAAAGATCACGAAGAACTCCTCCTGGCTCAATTTACTAAACAGCTTTGCATATCCTTTTTAGATCTTTCTCTTTCCAAGGACAGGCAACCAAATCACACGATGAAAATAGAATTATTGGCAAAAAATAAAAAATTAAAAATTAAATCTCTTCTAAATTTTTAATTCATTTAAAAATCAATATCTAATTTTTTCAATTTTAATTTTAACATTTCTGAATTTTTTTAAAAAATTGTTTTACATAATTCTGTGATTTTTAACCATTACCCATTGTCTCTAAAAAAAACTTTAACTCAAAGATATTTTCAGTTGAAATTTTATACACAAATTGAGAAAAATATAATATATTTTTTAAAAAAATCACAATTTTTCAATATCGGAAAACATATTTTTTATTTTTTGAATATTAAAAATACAAAAAACCAAGAAAAATATAAAATAATCCAAAATAAATCTGAAAGCTCTAGATAAATCTTACATAATAATTTATACTATGAAGTTACTTCCAAAATTGTTATTTTTATGGACTAAATGACTGAAAATTAAGAGATTAAGTCTTTTAAAAAAATTCTGAAAAATCAAACTCAGAATTACTGAAAATTAAGAGATTAAATCTTTTTTCAAAAATAAAGTTCGAAGAAATCAAACTCAAATTTAGAAGTTTAAAAATTAGTTTTCAAATAAACTAAAGATATGAGAAGGTTATGACTTTTTTAGCATTTCCTGATTTCAAAAATTAGTCTCAACCTTCAAGAAGTTCCGTTAGGATGATATGGATGCTACCAGGGGAATGATAACGGAATTGTAAGGAAACTTTGATCTGCAACTTATCTTGGTTACTTGGCATATAACGACTCCCTATTCACTAGGTAATTTCGATTAAGAACCTCGAGTAGTAGTGGAGAAAAAGAGCAGAAACACCTAACATGGACTTTCCCTTCTCGCAAGGATATGTAGTGGGGCAAAACTCGATGGTTCAAAGATAAATCAGGTCCAGATTAGGAAAGAACAATTGCATTCTGTAGTACTGACCCAAACGAAGACAGAAACAAAGTGGGTGGTGGAGCTTGTTTAATCCCTTGAGGAGCCTTAATTTAGATAAATAAAGCTTCACAAATTCTTCAATGGAGAGCATCAACAAAAAAGGAAAGTAGTCCCCACTTGCTTCCCAACCTAATCGAAATGAAGCAGCCATTGATAGCAACATTACAGTCCTCACTCTTTACTTCAAGACAGAAACGTGTAAAGTGCAAGTCTTTTTTTAGCAAAACAAAAGATAAGGGAAATGTGTAAAGGGCAGCAACACCACATAAATTTTCCTTAATTTGGTTAAGTTCCAAAAACTAGAACCATATGTTACACCATGCATGCCAGCTAGTAACTATACAGCTAGTTTTCTACTACTTAAATCAATAGCCAATATAGGGTTTGGGTTGGGTTGGATGAATCTTACAGTTACATTTGAGCACTTTTGAACTTCACTCCCCGTCCCCACATAATAAATAGACTTCACTAGCTAAAGCAGTATCTTCATCTTTTTCGGTGCAAAAGAGAAGCCAGCTTTGCCTCTATCTCTTCTCTTTCAGATTCTTATTAGTTCTATACATACAAACTAATTCATACTTTGGCTTTTCCAGCTAGGGCTGCTGCTTGTTCATGCATGTACACCTTGCACGACTCTCTGAAAGTGCCTGAAATGAACATAAAACATGAAAGGCAAAGGAAGTTTTTTAACATAAGATGGAACTTCTTTATAGGGTTTCTTCCAGTGGGTTTTGGTTCAAATTCATTATTGTAAAATACCTTGACTTGTCTTTGAAGGTCTTTAATGTAGTCCACAGCCAAATCCAGCATGTCTGATGTGTTTGTTTGCTGCAAATGGGGAAACAAAGCAAAATCTAAGCCTAAACAAAACTAGCAGATATAGAAAAAGGAAGTGCTAGTGAAAGATTCTACCTTATCCATGTTAGGTACAAGATCTTGGAGTTTCCTCATTCGTTCACTAATCCTAGTTCTTCGCACCTGCACATAATTCAAATCAACATGGACATCTAGAATTTATCTTAAAGTGATTAAGTAGAAATTGGTGGTATTAACTATAGAGATTAAAGATCCCAAAAAAGCATGCTTAGCTCAAGGTACAAATAACGACCAAGAAATGTAGCAAAGAGACTTTACCCTCTCAGCAATGCTTCTTGGATGAGTGGCACAACCACGTTTAGCTCTAATCTTACAAGGCACGGCATCTTGAAATTGCAAGAACTTTTCAACGGCAGAAATTTCTGATGAGGTTTTTGGCAAACTCAAGTGATGGGCCAACATTGGAGGGCGATTTCCTCCCTCTTCATTCTGCTAAACAATATGCAAATTGTTAAGATAGATGAATGATTAACACATGCTGGAACAAAAAAAAATGAGCTACCTGAGTTTCGGATGCACTTAGACCAGAAAGGGTCCTATCATCATCTGTAAGGTGTCTTTTTGAACCAGCAGGCATCATAGCAGAATCATCCCAAGATCCAATAGGGAAACCTGAGACATAATTATTACCTCGATTTTCACCAAAACCACCACTGTCTGGGCTATTTTCTCCAATGTTTTTGTTTCCTATGTCAGCAAGTGGATTCATTCTCGCTGAAGGGGGAGGTGGCATACTGGCTGCAGAATAGTTTGTGTCTCTATTACCTGCTCCAAGATCTCCCATACCTCTCAAGACAGCATAGCCTGCCATATGCTAAGATTATTTTTGTCCCATTTTCATAACTCTAGTCAATCAAGACTCAAAACAAGAAACTGTATGACATCAAGAAAGCATCAGAAACCTCACTCTCAAATTGGCATATAAGACCATAAATCAAACAACTTGGTGTATTAAAAATAATAAATACTGTTGGTATTGTTTCCAAAACTTTTATTTCTTCTTTTCAAAATTTTTTAACCCCCACTTGCTGGTTCAAATGATTGGTTATCAGAGAAAAAACTCAAAAGAATTTAATCAAAATTAATAGTACTTCACTTGACTGAAACTGTCAATTCACAACACAGAAAAATCTGCACTTTCTATTATTTTTCCTACTTTCCTTCCATCTTATTCATTGGCTATTTAAAAAAGCACAACATAAAACAAAGCCTTAAAAGAAAATCATTAAATCAGACATTACCTTTCCATTTTTCTCATTCTTTCCAAGAAATCAAACAAAAGGGTATCAAAATAACAACATACCGTTTTCAAATTCAATATTTATGTTGGAGAAAAGCCCTGCAGGTGAGCTACTGTGTCGAACAAGATTTGAATTAGTGCCACCACTACTCTTCATGGAAGGCAACCTCTCCATTCCCATTGAATTTGTACCACCACTAGTCTTCATGGAAGGCAACCTCTCCATTCCCATTGAATTCATTGATCTATAATTGAAACCAGAACCTGAAGTCTGATCTGGTAACGGAGGTTTTGATTGACTTTGATAAAAACTCTGTGAGGCAGAGTAATTGCTCTGTTGCTGCTGCTGCTGTTGCTGTTGTTGTTGTTGTAGCCTTGTATCAGTACTATGATTATTCGTTGAAGCCACCATCTGGGGTTGCTGGTTAATTTGAGAAACCTCTTCTGGAGAATCTTGCTTAACCTCACAAAGAATTTGACTTGATATATTCTCTGTATTGCCACCAGAATTGGCTAAAAATCTCGCGAAAATTCGTTCTGTTTCAGGACTTGTTGGCCTATTGAGAAACTCATCACAGAAGTCTCTGTCTAACATATTTGAAAAATATGAACTTGGTGCAGATTGATACCTTGCCAACCCAGAATTCATTGGTTTCTGATGAATTTGTTGGTGTTGGTTATGACCATGAAGGAAATGATGCTGGTGTTGAAGATCTGACTCCATCTAGTCCCCTGTTTCTCAACCAAGATTTCCAAGAAGAAACGCAGCTCACTTGGTTTTTGTAAGCCTTTATTTTTATTTTTTTCCTTCCGAACCAGATCAAAGACAAAGATTAACAAATCAAGAAGCTTAACAGAAGCAACCAAGCAAATCCATGTGATTTTTACAGAAACAGAGCAGAAACAGAGACCTAGATAAGATAGCTAAATCCCGCTTGAATTTTACCATAACAAACAACAATAACTATCAAATCAGACAACAACCCATTTTTCTAAGTTTGAAACTAAACCAACTTCACTCAAGAAGATAACATTAACAGCAAAAAGAGGCCACTCAAAAAAAGTAGAACTTATCTTTCTAGAAGGAAAAAAAAAGAACAAAAACAGGACAAGCACAAAATCCCGTCTCTCTCCCTCTTTAAGATGCTTCAAAAGGGAGGACTGAGGAGGTGGTGTAGGAGATGGTGGCGTTGATACCAGTGAGTGAGAAGAGAGAGAGACTGAATTATTATTATTATTATTATTATTTTGGGGTTGAAATAAAACAATTAATTTAGAAAAACCATTTTCTTTCCTCTTCTATGAGTATAGCCAAAGGGAATCAACGAAGGATAGAGATTAGACCAAAAAATTTACTCTATCTAACAAATTTTGTTGACCTTAATGCCCTTCATATTTGTTTGTTTATTACAAAAGAACTTTTGAGAGAAGAGAAACGGTTGCATTACATCAATGCCATGAAAATATTTGTACGGCTGGGGTTTTCCACAACAAAATGGAACATCAATTTCATTTTCTTGTGCAGTTCAAAGGATTATAAAACTTGCTTTTCCTTTTATGGATGCTAGTGAAATATAAGCTTCTCTTTGAGTTTGATTTGATATCTCGAAGAATACAACAATAAAAGATAGTTTTGTGAAGTTATTGGATTTTGTTTATTGCATATTAGCGTTATATTAAGTGAGTTTCTGGATAAGTATTTACTTATAAAGTTGAGAATTTAGATTTTACGTACCACATTATGCAATTAATGATATATTTTTATATCCGAATTGACTTAAATGAAAAAGACTTTATTCATTTAAGCTAATAATTTTAAATTTAAATTTTTATATATATAAAAAAAACACTCTATATAGGTGTTCTCGTTTTATACGTTTGATAAAACAACAAGAAATTAGTATGAGATTTTAAGCCTTTTACCTATTGTGTTCGATAAAACAACGAAAAATTAGTATGAGATTTTGAGTCTAAGATATCCTTATCTAAAAAATAAATGATATATTTCTTCTTCATGTATGATCACAATTACTATCCAAAATATCTTAAACATAGGCTCCGATATAAATACGATAAGAGTTTTTCAAATAAAAAAGTGGTGCAACGTAGACCTAATATTTTATACTATAAAATATAAAATATTTTATTTAGCTTTCTACTTTTATTGAAAAAAAAATCCTCAATGGATTTTGGTAATAAAAAATAAAAAAAATTACGAATTAGAAATAGATATGATTATAATTAGAAAAACTATAGAATAATTTTTGGAGTAACCTAGTTGGTAAATATGTTTATTCTATATACTATCGTCATAATAGATTTTTTTAATCATGATACACCAATTCAGATATTACATATTTAAAATTTAATTATAAAAAGATTTAGTTTTGATACTTAGAAATCTGAATTCATAATACCTTTATTAGAAATGGGGGATTTTGAAATGATTTGACAAAAGAATTGTTCTTTTTATTTTATTTTTTATCATAAAATGTTATTTTATTTTTTATGAAAGAGAATAAAGATCTAAATATCAGATCTAGTTGATTATTTTTGTTGTAAGAGGAGCCCCTCTAAGATGCAAATGACCTTACTATCCCTGTTGGGCCTCTGAAATTAATAATACGAGGCTAGGGACACTGAACTTTTCCTGCCCTTTGGTGTCTAGTTTTCTTTCTTTAACAGAAACAAACCATAATTGTCTCTTTCTGCGTATTTTGTCAGTAATAAATATAAAAGTGAAGGACATCTCATGTGTCTCTCACAGAAAGACTCCAAGTTAGAATTTGTCTACCAAACTTGAATAATGTTAACTTCACTGAGACTTAATATATATATATATATATATATATATATATATATATATATATATATATACACATATATATGCTTCTCCAAAAACCTTGTCCATCAAATAATATATATTATTTTCATCTCAAAGAAATTTTTTTCTTTTAACTTTGCACACAAATTTAAAAATTATTAATTATTATATCATATTAGCATATTTTGTTCATAATTTTTTTTTAAAAATATAATTTTTAATTGTATTTGAATAATTTTTTTCAAAATAAAATTTAATTAGAAATATTTTAATACAATATCACTTACAATTTTAACGAGACAGGTATTTTAAAATAAATAAAAATAAAAAGATGGACAATGTTTTTATAGATAAGTATATCATAGTTTAATTTTTTCATTTTTTGGGTAAATTTATAATTATTTAAAAAAAATAAAGAAAAAATTTAATGGATTATTTGTATGAAAAATTCATTTATTTTCCTTATTGAATTTTGCTAGCTTAAATTAATTATCAAGATTCCATGCCACGCTTTTCCTTTCCCACGAAGAACTTTGTCATTGAATTCTTAGAAGCTATAAAGTACTTCATTAATGATGAGAAATTTAGTACTGCGTGGCCTATGATACCTTGACAACGCAGCATAAAATGACATAAATAGACATTGGAAAATCAAGTGCCAAATTATTGTAGTCTCATAGATATTCCTCCCTCTTCTTGGGGATGCCCTTTCTCCTTCCAAACTTTCTTTCCATTCTTCTTTCTTTCTTTCTTTCTTTCTTTCTTTCTTTCTTTTTTTTTTTTTTTCTCTTTTTTGAGCAAACGATATTATTAATGAAAAGTATTTGGGCTCACCACCTCCAATGATTCTTCTTGATTTATCTAATAAAAAAAAATCCAGCTATCATCTCCAAGAGGATACGACTTTAGAGTTTTCAGATTGCGTCTCCCGGGCAACGAGGGTTTGCAAATTTTCAACACACGTGAGGGCTTGAGTTGTCGTTAGTCATTTGTTGATTTTTGAAAATTTCCAAATGGACTAATTATAACTCAACTAAATTAATAATTAATCACGCATTTATTATGGTGGTTTAATCATGACATTTAGGAGTCGATTGTTGATCTTATAGTTAAATTTATGTATTTTCTGTTGCAAGCAATTTCATCTTGAAATTAATTTTTTTATCGAGTACAAAATTCGAATTTTAAAGTTTTATTATTGAAAATAATTAAATTTTGTTATTTCTATTATGAATAGAATTAGTCTTATCAATTATATCTAATATGGGATAAAAATACATAAAAATTAAATAAAAAAAATGTACATTCTTTTTAGTTGTTAGAGTTTGAAGGTACTATACGTGTCTTTAACTAAGATAAAAAAATGTTTAATTTTAATAAATGAAAAGTTCTTTAAGAATATATATATATATATGTGTGTGTGTGTAAAGAAGAAGAAGTAGAGATTAAGACTGTAAAGAAGTAGAAATGATAACAATTAGGCTTGTTTGAAAATTTATCTTCAAAAAAAATAAAAAAGAAAAAAGAAAATTAATTTGCTTAAATTTTGTTTTATGCTTGAAGACATGTAAAAAGTAGTTGTCAAAATTTTTGAAGCCAAATAAATTGGTTTTGATAATTTGATTTTTTTTTTTTTTCTGATTTACTGCTGTGATTCTTGGAGAATTCATAATTTGAACCTTTTGAACCTATCTCAAACTTTCCAATTCATTCCATTTAAAATTCTTTTATTAGTTCATCTAGAATTCTTAAGTTTCCATTTCAACATGCAAGCAAACATAGCTTAATAGATGTGTAGTTGATAGTTTTTTTTTTTTTTCAAAAAATAAATTCGAGTCTTAATAACTTATATTTATTTGATCATTGTATAATGAGACATAGCTATTGTTTATTACATAATCTTTCGATGCATAAAAGAAAAAAGATATGTTTGGGATAACAGATTCAAATTCGCATTTGATCTCAAAGAATCCAGTAAAAAACAACTGATGATTGAAGAAGGGAAGCAATGGACTTTTCAGTATCACCAATCATTTTCCTACCAAATATTGTGTAAAGGAAAACAGAAAAATCCCTCCAACTCTATAGGAGATCTGCCAAAACAATATTACAGTGTTTTTATTATTGAGTTATATATATAACTAGATTTTGCCAGACAGAAGAGAGACATGTTCTGACTTTTATTTTTTCTTGGGAGGATAAAGTATGTGTCGAAAGAAAGGTTCAATGTTTTCTTTTACAGAAAAGGAAAGTTGGGGACCATGATCTATTGGGCGTAGCTTATTAAGTTGGATTTTTCCTAGCAATCAATGGGGTTTTTGTTTTTTTATGAATGAGACATGGTTGTATTGCAAAGACAAAAGTATCCTCCTTAAACATGATTAGTTATGTAATTTTGATTTACAAACCCTGTCTTTGTTGTCCTTAATGGTTTATAAACAAAGGTGGGCCCTTCACCAACCTTTTATTATTTTCTTCTTTTGGGGAAATGACCTGAAAAGATATTGCACCTTGATTTTAGGTCCCATTTTGTAAAAACAATTTCTTTTCTAAAAGGTTAAATTATTGCTTTAGATCTTAAAATATGATTTATATTATTATTTAATACATATATTTAAGTGGAGGTTTTTTGAGCTTGAAACTTACTCAAACTTACATTATTTTTTATTTAATTAATTAAAAGAGAAAATGATGTTAGTTTAACGAGGACTCTAATACCATATAAAAGGATTATCTCATTCAAAAGTTTAAACTATTAAGTGAGGTCTCGAATATGATTTATATTATTTTCTAACAAATTCTTTGTAATCATAAATGAGACTGCATGTCATTGAGGGAAATAAAATACAATTTCATTTACCGTCAAAGATAATAAATCAAATTAATAAAATTTTTACATA